TATACGACATAATTCATCAAAATTGAGTGGAATTGAATGCCGAGGCTCTTATGTAGAGGTGGACAAGGTTTTTGGACCACGCGCCATGTATCCGGCCCGTTGGGATACTCAATCTGGCCCGCATGGCGCTTCCACACACAAAAAAATCAAATTTCAATGTTTTAGCTAAAAAATACCACGAGGAAGTTGTTGAGATTGCATTGCGATTCAACTCAGTTTTGGCACAAGGCTCATTGTTTTCCGCATTTTTTTTTGGTAACACTGTCAATATTGTCCATGATATGTAAATTTTTACTCACACTTAGATGGCCCGTTAGTCTGGGTGGGCATAATTTTTGGCCCGCGGTGCATAAACCGTGCCCACCGCTGCTCTAGGACTAGGCTTTAGTCTGTATGCAACGAGTCTATCATTACTCTCCTTATTTTTTTATTTAGAATACAGGACGAACAACCTTGTTAAAAAACGAACAAAGAATAAACTCACTATTGTTGATGTTGGAATTCTGACTGGGTACAGTGAAGCGGTTATTCTGCCCGGTTCCAGTTGATTGAGCATCTTCGCTAGATGGCTTCCAGAATTATTTGATCTGTGGGGAATACGATAGATATAAGACGATGTCATTTAACGTCCTTATTGGCTGTTGTGTCCCTGGCACTGACTAACGAACTAGACTAGAATCGAACTTGATAGAAACGTCGATTGACGATTCCGAAGTATGTGAACCAAGATGGCGGACACCGGAAAGTAGTATGTGTACCAGGTAAGAGTTAGGCCATGATTTTATTCCAATTTTCCTTATTTTGGTTCTATTACGAGGCCGGGGACTAGCCAAGTGACTCCCGTATCTCCCGTATAATATATAAAAATTATGGCCTAACCCTAACCTGGTACACATACTACGTACCGGTGTCCGCCATCTTGATTCACATACTTTGGGAGTACCCGTCAGTTTAATGAAAGCAAACAATAACACCGCTTAGCCAACAAACTAACAGCGTATCGGTTCACTTATATCACACGAGGTTCTACAAGAATAATGTAACAGGAAACACTTCACACCTACTAGTGGGGGCATAAAATACATAAAAAGTGTATACACAACATTAGCCTGATCTTAAACAGAGCGGAATTTCCCAAGACCGCGAAAACAAGATTTGTTACCGCAAAATCGCGATCAGAGATAAATAATTGCAGATGTAAACTGTTTTTATCGAGAAGTTTGTTCAAGTGACATTGATTGCAGCAGGACTATGACGTCAGAAACGGCATTGATTGCAGCAGGACTATGACGTCGGAAACGGAATTGATTGCAGCAAGACTATGACGTCAGAAGTGGTATTGATTGAAGAATGACTGTGATGTCAGAAACGATATTAATTGCAGCAGGATTATGACGCCACAAACGGTATTGATTCAACAAGACTGTAAGGTCTGTACCAGTATTTTTTCGAAAGGAAAAAATGGGGAAGGGGGATTACCATGCATTGTTAAGTTACAATGACCGCGGGAACATATTGTTAATGAAATGTAACTCATTACGTGACACTTACCTGGCCCGCCAGTTTAGGTAGACGGAATTTTTGGCCCTTTTTGATCAGTAAGCCATCGGTTCTCAAGTAGTTCTCCACTTCTATGCCACAGAAAATTGTGGGCCACGAATCTATTAAAAATGGCCAGAGTTATTGATAAATTAGTTAAACTTTGATCGAAAAGAATTTTTTGTTTTTCTTATAGTTTGCCCCTTTCACAACAAAGTTAATAGGCCACAACATTTTGGTGCAACAAAAGTTGGCCATAAAATAAAAAAGGTTGAGAACCACTGCCCTGGGCCTTTTTCTTAAATTTGAACTTGTTCATTTCGCCACTGGCTAATAACTAATACTGTATGCTCACACTTGCAAATTTGGCTAAAATATACAATTTTTTCTGAATTAAACTCTCGCTTTCTGTTATCGAAAATACGGCGCTCTCGAAGTATGTACACCAAGATGGCGCACAACCTGAACCCTAACCTGGTACACATACTATGTTCAAGTTGTGCGTCATTTTGGTGCACATACTTCCGGAGGTACGAAAATACATCACACAACGCGGTTTAGTACTCAGATGATAACAATTATTTCATTTTAACTGATTTTTATGCTGATTTTCCACTTTTGCTTCTGTAGCACTGTTAAAATTGTTCATAAAATGTAACTTATTTCAATAAGTGTTACAGAATTCTTTGTGCAAATAAAGTGAAAGAAAAAAGGTTGAGAACCACTGCCCTAGGCCATGTTTAAGTTAAATTTGAAAATTTCACCACTGGTGCATTACTAATATGCTCATACTTGCAAATTTAGCTAAAATTTACATTTTTTTTTCTAAATTAAACTCTCGCGTTTACTGTTCATACTTTACTTTCTGCTTTCGAAAATACATCACATAACGTGGTTTTGTACTTTGATGATTTTGTAACAATTACTTCATTTCATGTTTATGCTGATTACGGAGTGAAAATAACTCATGTTATAGTCATATAGGAAACGAAATGAATGAATAAAAATTCCCCGCACCTGGAGACGTCACTTTATAAGTAGCATCACGAAGGTGTTTCCCAGTTTTCAATGCGAAAAAATTCAGTAATGTAACGTTGATATTACGACATTTGTATTTTTGTATCCAATTAAAGAGTCCAGCTGCACACTAACACAAATGTATTTCTGTAACGTTTCGTCCGAACAAAGTCAGAATTCCTCAGACAAGCAGTTTACAACAACAGTGCTGTGAATTTGCGTATGAATTTGTGAATGTTCAGCATCGTAGCTAGGAATTTCCAAGAGCAGGTTCCCAAATTTTTAATTGCCAAGTTTGGTCAGCTACTGGGTCCGGCCCGAGGCCGATGAACGTGAGTTTCAAGAGTCGTGGTAAGAAGTCTTGGGCAAAATACGGCCCGCGGGCCGAATCCGGTCCGCTAGATAATTTAATCTGGCCCGCTTGATGCTGCCACAACCAAACTGAAACCAAATTTTGATGTTTTCGTGAAAAATAGCTCAAGGAAATTGATTGAACTGTGGTTAAATTTAGTTTTGGCGCGAGGTTTATTGTTTCCACTTTTGCTTTTGTAACACTGTAAACATTGTTCATAAAACGTAACTGCAACGTCATACATACATGGCCCGCCATTTTTTTTGGCCCCTGGTTTAAAAACCCTGCCCTCTCCTGGTCTTGAGAGGTCTAAAAAGCGTTCCCAGCTACGGAAAATTGCTATCTATGATACAAAAAAATGCTTTTTCCACATTTAAAAAAAAGGGGGGGGGGGCGGTTGCGACCCTCAAGACCAGGGGTGAGCAAGGTTTTGGACCAGAGGCCTACCTAGGTCGGCGAGCCATGTAAATTTGAAGACGATGAGTGTAGCGTCCGAAGGTGTGCGAGGGTTTAACTGGGGTTCAGTGGTTTCACCACTGTTGCCAAAAAATGTCTGTTCACGGAGTCTAGTTTTCGTTTGTGTTTTGATATTTCTAAGCTTTCTTATATGTTTGATAACTAAATTACTGCCCTATGTAATCCTAATATCGGCGCGTTTATTTAATTAAATTATTACAGTAAATACATGCTTGAACAGTGATAATGACGTAACACACTAAAACGCAAACAAAGTCTGTTGAACACTATTTCACCTGAGATCGGCGGGCCATTTCAAATTGTTACGCGGGCTGGATTTGGCCCGCGGACTGCGGTTCGGGAACCCCTGGTCTATACTAATCTATCTATTTTTAAAATTAGTAATATACGTTAAACAAACCACTTCAAGAGTTATTACTCGTTTTTTAAAGCAAATAACTTTTCCTGGAAAACCAAGTGCGGTAGCCAAGGGCTATTTCGATTCGTAATGTTTTCGAAACATAACATTAATAATATAAGTGAACGAATTACCTCATGTTGTATGGATATATATATACGAAGCTGTATGATTGAAATTTCCAAAGCGATTTGATGTGGAATCGTTGATTGCAGTGGTTTCTAAACCGCGGCTCGCGGGCCAGTTACGGCACGCGTAACGATTTAATATGACCCGCCGAACTTAAGTGAAATACTTTAACATGTTTTTACTTTTCGCGTTCTAGATACAGTCAATTGCTATGTCATTATCATAGTTCAAACATTTGTATATTCGTAACAGTTCAAGTATACCGGTATTTTAATTATACGTTCCGTACGGTATCGGCCTCTCTCCCGGCCGGCGGATATCCTTTACGGTTCGAATTTTGGCGCCCAATCAATATCAACTTTGGGAACCCCAGGAATTTTCAATTTCGAACTCAGGCTTGAAGGTTTGAATCTCGCGAGGGATAATTATGTGCAAACGGATTGTTCGATTTTAACGGGCGTAGGGTGGTTCACGTACCCATTTTAGACTCGGTGGTTGGGGCATCGTGCTAAGCGCCTTTAATTACCGTGCATGGGTTCACAGGTTCGAATCTCGTGAGAATAATTGTACGTAACCATTGGCCGGTTACGGCTTCTCTCAGAGGCGCTGGCTGTTGAGCGCTTCTCGCTGGTATTCGAGGTGGGGTCTGAGTTTTCATTTTGAATTTCAGACGATCAGAAAAGTTTCTTTCGTTCAGACTGAGTTTATTTCAGGATCGTAGCGTAGCTATAGGGGGCTTTTTGAATTGTAAAAAAGGCATTTCTGTACCATACAAAGCATTTTTTGTGCTTTGAAACCTTGTTATACAGATACTGAAGACCCACGTTTTCCCGCGTTTTCGGCCAGTTAGCTATTACGGTCCAACTTAGCGATTAAAAATTTCCGAAGCCTCCTTTAGAAAATGGCTCTTTTAGAAGATGGCTACACCCCTGCTTCCGTTAAAAACTAAACAAAATTTAAGGTTTTGAACTAGTAGTATAGGTAGAAGTATAGGAGATAGGTAGATATAGTAGAAGTATAGGAGATAGGTTTCCTGTATGAGTGAAGTATTTTTGAACACAGGTAATAAATAACCCAAAATTTTAAGGTTTATACTGGAAGTTCCAAGATGTTATTATTTTACACTGTCATTCTTCTAGTAATCGGAAACTATGTAACGGAGTCGGCAAATGTTGGTAAGTATAACCTATGCCTGGTATACAATTATGATATGTGGAATCGTGCTTTGGAATTATTTTTTTTCGTGTGCAAGGGGAGGGGGGGGGGTGTTTTGATATTTCTAAGCTTGCTTATATGAGTGATAACTAAATTACCTCCCTAGAAATTAGCAAAACGATCCACCCCACGCCAAAGAGGATTTAAAACTCTTTGTTGTTGTCATATGACCGAAGACGGGGAGGTTTGTGTGGGAGTCAATATTATTTTGTTATAGACAATGTTTGGAATATTTTAGATTAGACTATAATTCTCCAGCAATTCGCAATTTCATTTTATTCACAGAGTTAATTCTATGTCCGAGGGTTTATTGTGGACCTAACGCAAGATGCGTAGTGAGGAATGGTGAGCAAACGTGTGAGTGTGACGCGGGCGCAAACAGACTTCCCGTATTTAATGAGTGCATAGGTAAGTTAGTATTACAATACGTACTGGGATTTACAGTCTAGTGCTACTCAATTGACGGGCCGCGGTCCGAATCCGGACCTTTCGGGTATTCGTTCGGACCGCACCTAATTTTTTATTTTGCATCATTAGCCTCACTTTTGGAGTTTCCCTTTATAATATCCATTTTACAGATTTAAATTTATATGAAAATACCTATAACGTCGTAATAAACAATCTTTATTTGCTAATGATTATTAGTCGGCCGTGGAAGTGCGTGATAATTTCTTAATAAACAGGAGTACAGGACCCAAAAATTTTTGAAGTTTTGTATGCGGTATTTCAACCCACCCAGGTATTTTACTGTTTTAGTTGACAAAATTTAAGTTTGTATTTTTGTGCAGTACCACTTAAAACCTTTACTTATATAGTATTAATTTGTATAATTAGAGCTACTTTTTTAGGAGTACTGAGAATTTTCGGTTCATCATTGTTTATCCCAGTGATTCCCAAAGTGGGCGATATCGCCCCCCAGTGGGCGAAAACGATACAGAGGGGGGCGAAAAAGTCGAGGGGGACGATTTCGCGGAACCTGTTTTATGATCGGCGCATCGTGCACTTAATTCTGTACTCTGTGTGCATTTGCAGGCTCGAATCACGTGGGCGATTACCACACGCGAAAGGATTTTTGGACTCGTCTTCGCAGTAAGGTACGATAGTTTGCTTATCCCAGTGGTCGGCAAAATACGACCGAAGTAAAATAATCTGGCCCGGGACGATTCACAGAATGGTACTTTCCCCGACCTTTGACCTCGGAAAATTATTCCCATACTTTACACCATTTTAAAATTTTCGGTGCTTATTTTAAGAGTGCTTTCGCGAGTTGTTGCCTGTAAAATGGGGTATTTGTTTCAAACTATCATTCCAATACACACCATTCAACAATCTGTTTTTTAAAAGTACCGATAAAGAATTTTAGCCTAGTCTATCACAGCTATTTCTACACTAATTTTTGATTACTGTATTTAAACTGAAACTCATAGGTAGACAAAGTAATCATTGACTTATTTGATTTTTATTTAAATTTCTGAAAAACAACTAAAAACTATCGAATATAATACAAAAACGCGAAAATGAGGTTATGTTGACGACAACGCCTGAAAATCTGTCTGAGTGAGTTTGTCTGAGCGAAAGGATGCGAAAGGGGGCTTTATTACTGTTTTTTGCATCTTGCTGATTGGCCAATGTCACGAAGTAAAGAAGGAAGTCTATGCCGGAGGAAACATCCAAACGGCGGTTTTGACAATGAAATTTTTTTATTTATAATCTACGCTCGGGGAATAAATTACATTTTTTTACGTAACAGAATTTATCGTGAGACACGTTTGGACTAAATTTTCTTATATCCTAAAAATTCTATTAAACAGCTACTCGTTTAACGAGCCTACAATTCAATTATAATTAGACAAATGGAAACACGAAGAAAAGTTGATGCTGAGGGCAGGGGTTCAATAGCGCAGTCAATATTCGAATATATTGCAATGCAATAAGCAAAGCAAATTCATATTCTATTCGAGACATTCATCACTGCTTAATTTTTGTAAGAATGTATCTTCTTAAAGAAAATCCTTATCAAAATTTCACAAATCATGCGACAATATTCACTTCAAGAACTGGGATTAGTGATGCCCATTTAGAAAATGTTCCATTCTTGGCGTCGTAAAGCTATCCAGCGTGATGCAGCAAGAAGACAATGTCACATCAAATGTTATTGTTATATTTTTCTAATAAGACGACTGATTTGAGTTCACGAATTGTAGCAGTTTTCGCGCGCTGTTCCGTTTTTAACTTTCAAAAAATATATGCGACCGCAAAAGACTAGCAACCCTGAATTTTGTCCCGCCGCGAGCGACAAAAATATTTGCCGACCCCTGGGCCGTAGCCGATCACGGCTTCTTTCACATCCGAGTCCATGAATCCAAAAACAAATGGCCTATTAGTTATGGACTGGTGATCGGACTGGAGGCCGTGGTAGGATGAGGAATCGGGGATAAATTTTACCGAAGTATTTTGGAGCAGGTCATCAGGCTGTAGGAATGAATGAGATGTACGAAAATCATTATTATAAGTTTAGGAAAATTAACTTTGTTTTCGTAATTTCAATGTGAAATGAGGTGAATTTAGGAAGTGAAATGCTATAAGGCAAGAGTACACGCAAGAGAGCTGTTTTTGACAAGGTAGAACCCTGGATTCTTTTATTTCCGACCTATTATAGGGTGAAAACGGGGTTTTGAGCCGTGCTACTATTGCTATCAAGACAACGAAATCGCCTTTCCACCAGTAAACGAAGTAATTTTAGATACAATAAAAAACTCGCTGAAAAACGCCAAGCTCATCTATCTCATCAAAAACAATATAAAGTTTATAGTATAAACTATGATTTGTCTTTTTATTTGGTCTTTAATATATTCGTTTCTGACTTTACATATTTTTGTATTGCCGGGGGGCGATGAAGTCGTATAAACTCATGTAGGGGGGCGATGGCCGAAAAAGTTTGGGAACCACTGGTCTATTCGATTCAATTCATTTTGAATAAAGTGGTGAGACTGAGTTTCGAACCCAAAACTTTGAATCATAAATACTACGTAGTTCACTAATCACTATTATTATATTAATATTTTAGCGGACACGAAATTTTATTGCGAAATGATTTTCTATGAAGCAATCATGGAGGAGATCTTAAACAGTGCTGTTGAAACTTTACAAAAGAAAGGAGTCGAAAAAGCGATTTCAGAAATCACAAATCGCAAAAAAGCGATCAGCCAATGCGATTCAACGAAAGATAACGCAGCTAAAATTGATAAATTTGTGAAAAGTATGACATATAGCGGTCAGAAAATAGGACTAGGAATCATCGTTTTCCTTCGATCTATTATAGACGAGACACAATCAAAAACTGATTTGAGTAAAGTGATAAAAGAGATTGGAAGTGACAAGAAATACACAAAAAATGAAAAAGATTTACTCAAGCAACTGAATGAACTTTTAGGCCGTAAATGTTAAAAACTTATTGGACACGAAATAGAATCTGGATCGTTTTGTCATTTGTATTTTTGTTCTTGTTGCCACGGTATGAAAAGAATCGCTTTTCTGTTTGATTACTAGACCAATTGTTTTGAGATTTTCAGTGGTTGGATATTGCTGCTGTCGCTAGAAGGCTATTATTTTTAGGTATTTCAAAATTCCTGTGGGCTGTATAAGAGAAGTTTTTCGAAGACTTCAGAGTTTTGTGTGATGATCTCAAAAAAATTTATTCAGTGTTAATGTCAAAAACTTCATTATAAGTATCATTATGGAATCAGAACCCTTGCTTTGTATTGATGTAGTAAAAGAGTGTTTAGTTATTCAAAATTATCGACCTTTTTAGATTTTCGCATGCAATGTAAAATAAATTGCCAATGATACTATGAATAAACAGTCACATGTTACATGTCTTTTATTAATGAAGAATTTTGTTTCAAACACAGGTTAAAAACTAAGTAATAATTTAGAGGTTTTAATCTGTTATCTGGAGTTTCTACGATGATTTTATTTTGCATTGTCAGTCTAATAGTAATTGGAAACTATGGAACGGAGTCAGCTTATATTGGTAAGTGTAACCTGTACTTGGTATGCAGCTAATTCATAGGGATGTAATCGTACTTTAAAAGAGGTTTTGGGGGATGGTATATTATTTAAATTGGGGTATCATTCATACATCGACTTGTAAGACACCTGCTCGATTTCATCGAAAAAAAAGGATTTGAAATCCGCATTTTGGTCCGTAGAAAACTGTATTTAACATTTTTCCATTTTTTTTTTTAGATTTTCTGTGTCCGGACCCTGAGCCGATAGTCAACGGATCCCACAATGGAGATTGTATAGGAAGCTTCCCACCCGGGGTGAATGTAACTTATGCCTGTGACTATGGTTACGGGATGGAAGGCCCGAAATCGAGAATTTGTCGGATAATAGAGCCATCGGACCCGTATTCGAGACCCATAGCACGATGGGAGCCGCAGGAACCACCCGTGTGCAAAAGTATTCTTCTTTTTTTATTTAATTCTTGACACGAAGTGCACATATGGATATATTTATAATGTTGTTATTCTTGTTTTAGTTTTAAGTTGTATGAATTTGAATTCAATACAACCCCCCCCCCCCCCCCCCCCCCCAAAAAAAAGGCATCTGAAACATATTCTAAAATTAAAATACCTTTTATCTTAATTACAGGACTTATACCATGCAGAGTTTTTTGCTTTGGTCACGCTGAGTGTTTTATTAAAGATGGTAAAATGGCGTGTGCATGTCAACCGGGCTCATTTTGGACTCCGATGTTCAATTCTTGTCAAGGTAAGGTCTCCTCAAAAAATATTATATTATGGACTATTGACTTAGTGCAGTATAAACTACAAATGTATGTAAAAGCTAACGTGATACTGGCAAAGCAAAATGATCTTTGTGGCACCCCAATTGGTGCGGTTAATTTCATGAATCATTATCATAGAGTTCAGCTCTCGATCCCAACACAAACTAACGTCACCAAGATCACACAACCTATATATCGTATGTGTATGGTGGGCGCTCCTGAGGTATGTGTATCAAGATTTCGCACAACCTGAACCCTAACCTGGAATACATACTGTGTTCAGGTTGTGCCCATACTTCTGGAATTCCGTGTAGTATAGTATCTAAAGTATAGTATGCCAACTATATATTCCAACCAAAACACTTTTATTGTAGTATAAATTCACGATGTATCCAACACAAACTGTTGCCGCTCTCGTGTGAGAATAGAATAAATAAAGAACAAAACGAAAGAAGCAAAATTGTTGCGTAATCTTTAGCACTAGTGACTGAACACTAGCATGGAATAAAGTAAGTTACAGGTAGTGCAACCAAAATACTGATTACAAAATGCTAGTAATCAGTTCATATGTGACATCACAAATATCTGAATGCGAAAAGCTTGCATGTGACATATCTCATATATTCACAATCATAATGAACGAAAAAGATCGGCCAATGAACCCTCAACTTTGGCTGCCGTCAGCATTTATATTTACCCTAGTTCACACTCATGTATACTAAAGTAATGGACGAAAAATACCGAATTTCGCCGTCGAAGTATTATATCCCTACAAAAAAAATTTCGTCAAAACATATCACCTTGTTGCTATCTAAAATAGCAATTGTATCGTACGCTGGATTGCAGGTTTCGATCTTTTACCGTTTCACATCTCTTGAAAACAATCTACCGAAATCGCATTTCAATATCGATTAGCTAAAATTAATATTATTGCAGTAAAGCAAATCCGAAGCATAAAATGCTAGAATGTGACATATCTCTGAAAATAGGATTTCGTGGACGCGCAATAACTGAAAACTCAAGGATTTGCAGCAAGGATTCACTGTATGCGAAAACCCCTCACTTTTTAACATTTCTCCCTGACGCAAATTTGACCACTAAAATCCCGGACATGTCAGGGAAACATCTGGCGTATCTGGCAACCTTAAACTATAGTTAATCAAACCTGCCATTTTATCATATCTTAGGTAAAAACTATGTATAAAAAGATACTCACTAATTTTTTTCAATTGTGATTCTAATTTAGTGGACAGCGAGATTTATTGCCATATTATTTTCTCCGCAAAACCTTACGTGAAAGAAATAGTTGACAATGTCATCGAAACCTTGCAGAAAAAGGGCATTGAACAAGCGGTTTTGGAACTGGTGTCCCACAGAAAAGGGATTAGCCGTTGCTTTTCAACGAAAGAGAAAAAAGAAAACACAGCCGAAATTGATAAAGTCGTCAAAGTATGATATCTAGCGGACATAAACTACACTTAGCGATCATCGTTTTCCTTCGGTCCATCATAGACGAAGAACAATCGAAAGCTGATATGAGTAAAGTGATGGAGGAAATCGAAAATGACCCAAAATATACAAAAAATGAAAAAGATCTGATCAAAGAACTACACGACCTTATAGGCCGTAAATGTTTAAAACATGGTGTATTAATAAGAGACCCCCAAAATTCTAGAAATTTTTTTTAAAATTTTTCAGAGTTCTCCTCCCTCCCCCCCCCCCCCCCCCTCTTGTAGTTGATGTAATACTTATTGTAATAAATTTGTTGTTTTTAGGTAGAGGAATGTTAAATACTGTTAGGTATGAAGTATTTGATACTATAGAGTTCTTACAGATTTTTGCAAGCCTTTGAACAGCTATATCTATACAGGGTGTTAAAAAAGTAAAGCAAAATTAACAGAAGTTAAGATAAAATGCTACTTAAAATATTTAACGACTAACGCCTTTTAACAGTATTGAATTACAATTGAAATGCCATTTCAACATTTCTGACGCTTTTTAACAGTTACTTTTTTAACGTTGCCACGGCGAAAAATTTCACCTTATTTTCGCGTTACTTTTTAACCCCCTGTATAAAAAATATATAGAAAATTCAGTGCGTTCTACATGCAAGCCATACATAAATTGTAAAACATGAATTCTAACAAAAATATGACAATTAGGGGTTGGGGGTAGGAATAATCGGACCACACGTTTTGAAACATATTTGTTAATAATTTGTTTTCCGAAAATGCTGCTTCTTTTTTCTTATAATACTTTTTGAAGTGTTTTGGTGTTTCATTAACTTTTTGTGCTCACTAACCTGAATCAGCGAGTTTTTAAGGTGTCGCTGCTTGAAGACCTTATGAGGTACCTCGCGACTCCTGTCACACAACTTAAGTTAAGTTCCTATTGTGTTTGAAATGTTTTTTTCTTATGATACGTTTATTTTGTGCTGACGAATAAAATGATGATGATTGATTGCAGACAAAAAAAAAATTCTGTATCATTCCTGGCAGTTTTTTTTTCGGAAAACCCGCTTTTTCTGAGCTTCGGCCAGACCCGCTTGTTGTTCGGTCCAACATGGTAATTAGAAATTCCAAATCAGACTTTTGAGAATTCCTGGTTATGCCCCGGACGGTCGGGTAGATATTTCCTTAATCGACAAGGCCAATGTTACGTATAATCAATTCCTAATAAATTAATAAATTTCGGCCAACTCACCAAGAGTTATCCAATATCCGAGTTTGATACAATCTTCTTACTTGATTTTGTAGATGACGATTAAAATAATAGAATTTTACTATTTCCCCGTCATTGTTTATAGATCCATTTTTGTCAAATGTAATGTTATGTTCAATTAATTTAGCATGCCAAAAAAGAGAAATAACAAAATATAAAACGAGAATATCGGTCGGAGACCGAAGACTCATGGATCGGAGGTTAGGGGATCCCCCAAACCAGCGCTCTTACTTCATAGTGACACCGTGTGTCCCCTCTCTAATTAATTAATAACTCGCTAATTATACGACATAATTCATCGAAAATCAATAGGCTTCTGTTCCGAACTATGATGAATGCACATTGCATTTGGAGCAGATTCAACCTCGCTTTCGTGAGACAAACAAACAGACAAATACCTATCAACATACTTACCGATCTTAAGATCGATAAGTAACAAACTAGTTGTCTATGCTAACAGTCCAATATGGCGAAGGCCATTAATTAAAATTGAGGTCTATTAACAAAGTGTATTATATGTAACTGGCACATATGTATTTACCCACTACTGACCTATATGGCAGTGCTACAGTCTTCCCCACGCCATCCAATATTTCTAACCGTCCGAAATATAAGCGAAATTACTTCACGTGTTCATGGCAAGGTGTGGCGCAAACGCTTTCTCCGAATGATTAAATAATAATGACAAACATCACTTTTTTAAAACGTAGCATCAATTTTTACGCCCGCACGTTTTCGCTTAATTGGACACGCTGTTGGCTGACGCAAGGGTTAGTTACGATACGTAACGTAAGACGCACTTGCGTTCCATGCACGTATTTTTAACGTTTTTTTTTTATTGGAATATACTTTTGCCTTACTGTTTGTAGCTTATTGTTAGCTAAATGTATTTGCGTTGCACTCCTCAAAATAAGACCTAATCAAAATGCGAAATTTGTTTTGACCTAGTCCAGGGGTGGGCAACCTTTTTCGACTCGCGTGTCAAAATCGGCTAAATTTAACGACAAAATTCTTCGGCGTGCCGACCGAAATTGAAAACAATGCTTTGCTGCTTTCAAAGCAAAATTACACAACAATAAACCTTTTAAACCTGTACAGAAAGATTCACTATTCGGGAAAATATCAGTCTGACAATAAATTTGATTACTTTTCTTATATATTCTATACCAGTGAGACTTCTGCTGCTGCATTACCGCTGATATAAATTTTACATCGGGTTTATATTTTGTAACTTTCAAAGAAATACGAGAACTACTGGTTTCATTTTTTAGGTCACTCCTGTTACGAGACCTAATAAAGTTCATAACTGAGAAAAAAAAATATATACCGTATTTAGATTGCAAAGTTTTAAAGACACGAAAAATTTTCCGGAGTGGCATCCTAATCAAGCAATAGTTCGTTTTCTGCATTTCTCTCTTGTATTCCCTTCCCTAATCGATAGGATGGAATTTACATATTTATCCCGGGGAGAGAAAAACCGATAAGACGACTTAACCCTATGGCGAACCACGGCTTCTCGCCCGGTTACCGTTCCATGTCGGGTATGGGATTAGTTACCGGCAGTTATTTGTTTTCGGAGGTGCGGTGACGCGAACCCACACAGAGTAATCAGAGGTGCGGTGATGAGCGTATTCCTAACGCTTAGCACAATGAGCCACATTGCCGCGCACAATCGCTTATATTTCATTCGAAATCAATTTATAACAGTAAGTTAGCAAGTAAGTCTAACCAACATTTCCTGTACAACTTATAAATCAAGCAGAAATGAAGAAAAGGGTGGCACAGACGAACTATAGGATTACGCAAGAATGTAGCCGAATGAATTCTGCGCTCTTCTCGAGAGCTCACTCTTTTGTTGCGTCATAATATATTTTTTGTAGCCATATGTCATGAAAGGACAAAAAGAGTTTAAATAAATAATGGATTGTTAACAAACAATAATAAATGAACATCCTATTTTCATCAGATAATTCTTGAGTCGTGAAACTTTTTATCTGAAAAAGAATGATCTGGTTTCCGAGGCCTCGCTCGCGTGCCGAATAAATGGGTTCGCGTGCCAGGGGTTGCCCACTCCTGTCCTAGTCGATAGCAAGGTAGCAAGCATCTCTCCTACAAGATTTTAAATGATTGATAATCTATGTTTTGCAGTTATTTTGAATAAAAATGAGTTATTTATAAGTAAATGGATATCATGCAATTCTCTACTTTGTAATTATGGTTTTGATAAATGATAATATAAGATATCCCCCGAAAATAAGTCCTAGTAAGGGTTAGTTCGGATACCTATAATTTTCACTATCCGGATAACGGATATATCCGGGTATTCCGTATTTTAAATATACGGTTAACCGGATAGTTACTGCTGATTTTAGAGAACCGATTTCGCAGGATTTTCGCGGTGAATTGAACGAATACCAGCACACAGTTCTGTTGTAAATACTCACATATGTATTATTTTTCTTGAATATGAATTATTGTGCATTTTAATATTGCATGTGTCAATAAATAATAATTTAAGCTCAGTAGTCGTACCGATGTACAGCGGAATAATAAAATGAAACATTTTTTGAAAATATTGTGTCCTAATTTTTTTTCCCCCAACTGCTAAGTTATTTTCCCTATTCAAATAATATGTAAAGATTTATATTATTTCTACTTTATTGTAAAGTTTTTAAAAGTTTCTTTTTGTGTCTAGAGCCTCTTTTCTTTAAATTTTGACTCGTACTAAATTTTAGTGTCGCAGACTCACAATGATCATTTCTGATCATCCGCACCTTCCTATCAATTGCAATGAAATTTAATATTGTCATGTATAGTATTTTGTTTTCTATAATATTTGGTGATTTCTTGCACGACGAAATAAACTTTGTTAATATATACCACAAGAGCATACATATAAATGAAATCATGAACACAAAAAATCGTGCATTTCGAACATTTTATTTCGGTGAGAGAAGTATCCAAAAAATAGAATATAGGGGGAACAAATTCCGTGAAGTGTATAGGAAAATATAAGTCATTTGAACAAAAATTTTAATAACAAAGCAAATTGATGATTATGAAAAAACCGAAGTGGTCAGAAATTTCTTCTAATTTGAAAACTTCACTTATTTAACATGTCACTGTAAATATTCTCACGTTTGTACTAATTAGGCCACAACTTTAAATCTATTTCCATTCGAATACCTTTTAAACTAAATTAACAGAGCCAAAACAATGCTGCGCCAGTTTTTGAACAACTTTACTTACCACCCTAAATGAGTAAACGAAAAATATGACACGATACAGAGTCTGTCACATTAAACTTTTCTGAAATATTATAGACCATTTTGCAAACAAATTTGTTTGTGAAAGTTCCATGAAAACCATAAATGTAACAACAGCCTTTCCTCCTCATTTTGAAATTTTCGAAAACGTCACTAATAAAGGCGGTCGAATTTTACAGGCTAATTGTGTTATCATCGCCGATCGTTTTCTTCCGCATCGCGTTATTATTTGGGGAATTAACATCGGCATTATGCCAGTTTTAATTTGAAAAGAAGTTACATCCCGTGAAAAGTTACTCTTGTTGTAAATTCAGTAAATACGATTATTACGAAATTTTGGCGATTCAACAGCGCCTAAAATAGAGTCTTGTTTTATCTATCACTGGCTCATAAATCAAGAGTCGTGGTATTTTCGTTAGCATTCAATTCCTTATTGTCAGTCAAAAATGTGTGTTTCAGATCTACTCTCTTAACGATAGATAGATACGACGATAGATAACATACTGCGGCCCTTTCAGTTCCGGGCGAAATAAAACAATTATCGGCGTTATATACCGACGAAACTGAACCCGACTTTTCTCCCGAAAATGTTGATATATAACTATAAGCTAAACAATATCTGCATTTATTGTACTAAATAAATTATACTCATTGGAATTGCAATAATAGCTCAAATTTGATGAATTTTCAAGATAGCAAAAATAGGAAATTGGATTTGTTCGTGCAGCTTACCATTTATTTTCATATCTAGAGTAGAAATGCTTTTATTTTGAGGTAAGTCGGGCTCTTCTATACCGCAAATACGCAATAATCACATTTTTCTGCGTGTTTTGTGATGTAATACTATAGTCAAGTTCACTCCAGCATTACACGGATGACTAAAATATGCAGAGTGGTGTGGATATAAGTGAATATTATATGCTCTGAGAGATGTCATTGGCCACTCAACAAAAAATATAAAAATCACTAATGCGCATATGCATTATTTATACTGCTCTATTATCCGGTTAACCGTTACAATAATATCCGGTTATCAGATAGCAAAATACCTCTTGGTTAATCGGTTATCCGGTTAACCGCTATCCGGATAATCCAACCCTAGTCCTAGTGTTATTTTTCGAAAAAAAAAATTTGAAATAAGACCCAGTCTTATTTTCGGGGAAACACGGTAGTACATCGAAAAAAGTGAGAAAGGTATAGCCCTCTAGCGATTATTTCTGAAAATTTGAAATCTATATGACCGCCAAAATTGCGAAATTTCACTACCCCGATACGAATAACAACAAATTCCGTTCGAGTTATATTAGCGCCCAATTAAATAATTGGTTCAATTATCATTCCTGCTTTGTTCAATTACACCTCACTAGTCACTACGCTCACACCGTACATGTATAATATAAACGGGGAAGTCCCTTCACCTATTTCAAGTCCCAACCTAAAGCGGGCTACGCGCTTTTACGTTCAACAATAACTTGAAAATGGCAAAGACAAACCAGAAAAAGGTGAAAACAGCGAGCAGGAAAACTAGCAACAAAAATGATAAAGTTTTTCAAGTCGGCAAAATCGGGAAAAAGAACCAGACTGGAAAGACAAAAAAGAAAATCGCCGATAAAAAGAAGCTCCAACGAACTCAAGAGCAGGTTGCCAAATCTGACATCGCATACGACGATATAAAACACAGAATGACGAACGTTAAAGTAAAAAAAGAGACAAAAAGTGTAAAAAAACAAAAATCTAAATCACGAAAAAGTGAAGTTGATTTAGAAAGCACTTTAGACCAAATGAAAATGCTTTGTAGAACGAAAATTAACCAGCTAAATTGATGTGGGAAATCAGTGACGTGTGGCTTACCAGAATATTATTATCTGAGTTCAAAAGTGCCAATGCTGCCATGGCACGCTTCATTATTTCCCAGGGCATAATGAACTCTGATACAATATTCTGGGGGACGGGAAAGTTAATTACATGACTTAATCCAGTAATCATATGAAGAACCATGGACTGCCATCCATGGGGAGAGCTCCCTCCAGTCATAACCAAAAAAAAGTGTTTATTTATTTGTATGTATGCCTTCATATTTACATCTGTTTTGGTTGAGAAATCTATCTATTATTCACAGAGCCAAGTTGGGTATTAGTATACTTGATTAGTTACTCATTCCAGATGCATGGGCTTGCATACTTTACGGGAGCGAGAAAAACCAAAGACATGGCTAAATCTAAATTGTTTGGCGTCTACCACTGCCGTCTCCCACTAACCAGGCTGGGCATGAGGGTACTAGATCAGAGGTTTCCCTCCCCCCACCCCCGCTCTATTTGGGGCAAATACCCCCACTAACACTCCCCTAACATTAACACACTCTCCCTAATTTTGAGGTATGACACCACTCTTCAATTCAATACTTTAATATATTTGAATATCCAGAAAGTGGCAAATAAACCAGTTCTGATGATCAGTCAAGTTACAGATAGTTTTATCATTAATATTGAAATATCTACCACCTCCGAAATTTGGATTTTGTTCCACTTTTAGATGAGTGGGCACACCTTTTGGTATCACCTTGTTTAAAATTTGAACATTTCAAACTTTAATTTTCATTGTATCTCCTGGTGCTGTAATCATATTTTTATTGTTTTACTTTCAACCATTTATATCTCCTTTTATAGTGATTATGGAATTGAATCCGCCACATTCAACATTAATTCGTATTATTAATATGGTGTTTATTGCTTTCCTGAATTGGCATTTTTGCATATTTTATACAAAACAGTTTGATGTTTTTAAATTTCTATCATTCTAAATAATATTCCTCACTAATTGTGAATTGACTAGAGAAGAATAATTATGTATTTTGTTCACCTATTTTACATCAAGCTGTGCTAAGGGACTGAAACCTATGGGCAGGCGGTATATTCACTTGGCTAACACTAACACAGATGGTCCCCGAACTCGTAATAACCCCCTAACCGGGTACACATACTAGGGCAGTACCCAATAAAATGCTTAGGTTGGGTTTTTATTTTTACATAAGGCAAAGGCACATTGGTTTTAAAGCATTACCAGTAATGGCAATAAAGCCACAACTCTCAGTTAAAGAGAACTTAAGGCCCAACACTGTTTCCCTCAATGCTTTTAATTCAGGCTTTGTTTCCAAGTGTAATAGAACTATAATAAATACAAAAATAACAGTTTAATAAAGTACAAGGACAAATCTACAAAAACAACAAAGATCAGCAAACAAAATATTTTAAAACGTGATAACGCTGCCAGGCTGTGCTCACTGAGATTGATATTTTTGACCACAGTCTTTCAGAGAAGTACATTTTTCTGGCCATGTTCACAACACAACGTGGGTACTTCTAGTTGGCGTGGCACAACCATTTTTGCATATGTTGTTCCTAACCCCACTTGACTACGCCATTCAAAAATGACATCACGGTATTGTAATAAGGTCTTCCAAATTATACTAACTGTCATCCAAGAAGTGCAGACGATCACCCAAAATCGAGCAAGCTATTCCTCTCGCTTTTTCGTCCTAATGATCCCCATATGAAAAAGATCGCTGGTGTTAGTGTCATTTCGGACTGACGTGATTATGAGGTCGTAGTGACGTAATCTTTGAATGACAGACCAGGTGGGGGTTAGGAAGTGGTTGTGCCACGCCAAATAGAAGTACTTAGGTCGTTTAGTGAACATGCGCTCATTTTTCTGAATCTATTTATGGAAGAACTTTAGTAAATATGTCCAAAGAACGAATTTCCCAAAAATCATTCATATCATATTTGGTAAAACACGTACAGTGGTAAGAAAAAGTTATAAGTAACTAATAATGCATAAAAAAAAGATTACACAGCCGATTTATAAGTGAATTCTACCCCATTCTCTTCAGTAATGTATAAATATGATCCCACTATTCCAGTTCTTTTAGAATTGCTTAAATCAATGCCACACACTTGAAAGTGAAGAAGCCTCATCTCTGAGCAAAGTTATGGGCAACTGCTGGAAAGCCAAGAGTTATGCAGATTCATCGTAAAATGTTAACTCGTAGTTGCTTGCGACTCTAAATAGCACACGCACATTTGATCCTTACTTAAAAGCACTAACGAGCCGCCTTTTGGGTGCCAGACCATAGAATGGGTATGGAACGTTGCCCCGACGGGTACCTGGACTGAAACAGACCCAGATGGGGACCAAAGATATATTTTATCATTTCCTGTAGCCACTGCCAAACGACAAGTCTTTGGATCCCATTTTAACGACTTGATTTGCGAAGTTTGCCGTAAAACGACGTACAAACATAGTTTTTGCATGCTCCATATAAAGACGCAAGTTTTCATACTGTCATCCACAGTCGCCAGATATTTGTTATCAGGACTGAATTCCATCCAACCAGCCCCGATTTTGGGGTTTGGCTTATCTGGGTTTGGGGGCATGAAAGGGAGATCAACGGGGTGTTCGCAAAATTCGTATCTACTTTGTGTGCTGAATAACGACGGCATCATGTTCGAGCCTTCTTCTTCCTTCGTGGGAAGAGTCGGTCGCTGTTCGACTTCTCTATAAACTACGACATTTCCGCCTTGGATTGTCGAAGTGTGTGTAAACTCTGAAATTGATTTCCATGTTATATGATTCAATAGGCGAACTTTTTGATCGTAACTCCCCACAGCGAGAAACTGGCTTGTTGGAGACCACGACATTTTTTTAATTCCTAATGCCCATTCGTATGCTTTATATGTTGCTAAGCAACGGCCGTCCATCGTATAGATCAAAACTTTATACCAAAGCATGTTATCCGCAACGCAGAGAACCCTGCCATCTGGTGACCACTCTAACGAAGCCATGTCTTCTGTGTCAGACTCGAAAATTTTCACCATTTGCCACGAGTCGACTGCAAAAATGCTAACATAGTCTTTGCATTTTCGAGTTTCACCGAGAGCGAGGTATTTTCCATCCTTTGAGAAGCTTAAACAATCTTTTGAATTCTTTACATATCGTATATAAGATACAGACTTGTTCACAAGCGACCAAACTGTGATTCGTAGATTAAAACTTGCTGTGGTGAGAATATGACGTCCGTCAGGGCTCCACTGAGCTCTAATAAGACCTGCCGACCCCTCATCAACTTTGCAAGTCCAATCTGGCTGTTCAATAGACCACACTTGAACAATGCCACGTTTAAACATAGCACAGAGCAGGAATGCAGAGTCAGATGACCAACCGATTTGTTGAATAACATCCATGCATGTATAAAGTCGCAAAATTTGCAGAGTTTCGACATCTCTTATTATTAGTTTGTAAGAGACACAAGTCGCAATGTATTTTCCATCAGGAGAAAACTTACATAAAAAATTAGATTGCTTGAATAGCTCTGAAAAATTCATTCTTACGGTAAATCTGAAAAATTATTACACATGAAATTTAGAGAAGTGCAAATCGAAGTATATCACAGATTTTAAATCATATAGGCCTACTATTTTCAATGAAGAACACGATATAGAAGTTCTAGAACAGTGGTTCCCAACCATTTTTTGGATCGTGGCCCGCTTCCGGGGGCTTTTAGCACTCATGGCGCCCATGTTTATTATTCCAATGGTATTTATAGTGGTAGATTCCAAATCCCAATATGTTCAAACAATATCAACCTCAACAAAGTGAAAACACCCAGCGAAAAAACCTTATCAAGCAATGAAACTAGGAAAGACTAGGAAACTAGGAGTTTTCTTATAAAATGAAATGTCAAATCAGCTTTTCGCCTAGCATTGTGGCCCCCTATGATGGGAACCGCTGTTCTGGAAGTTTGAATTTAGAGATTCAGGATAGTTGAGATGAAGAGTGATTTGATTGGTTATTCTTTATCACTCAAAACTAAAAGGCTGGAGTGAGTGGGCACACCTTTTGGTATCATCTTGTTTAAAATTTGAGCATTTTAAACTTTAATTTTCATTGTCTCTCCTGGTGCTGTAATCATATTTTTATTGTTTTACTTTCAACCATTTATATCTCCTTTTATAGTGATTATGGAATTGAATCCGCCACATTCAACAATAATTCGTATTATTAATATGGTGTTTATTGCTTTCCTGAATTGGCATTTTTGCATATTATGCTTTTAAATTTCTAAATAATATTCCTCTCTAATTGGGAAATGACTAGAGAATAATTATGTTCGGGCATTCCAAGGTGCCCAAGTCTGTTCTGGTTTCATGGAAAAGTAGAGCTCCACTTATTATAATTTGAGAAACATGTTAAATTATAACAATTTGTTGTGAGAACTTTTTTTTTTCGAGAGGTAAACTTGAATTTTTTGTTTTGGTCTCTATGTATGATTTAATTTGTACCATCGATATTAGTACTTTTCCTGGGTTTTCAGTGCACATATATCTTATAGAATATAATTCTTCGAAAGAAATTAGATGCTTCTAGTAATTTCTGCTGTTGGTCCTGGAAAAAATATCGGTACGCTCATGTTTATTTGCCCAACACTGATGATCCATTTGCCTTCTGTCAGGTATTGCCACGTTACTCATTTGACAAATATTCGTCTGTCTTTTTGTTCATACATACATTTTAAGGCATTCCAGAAGTGTGTGTGTACCGATATGAAGGTAAATAATTTTGTTCACCTATTTTACATCAAGCTGTGTTAAGGGACTGAAACCTATGGGCAGGCGGCATATTCACTTGGCTAACACAGATGGTCCCCGAACTTGTAATAGAACTAAAATAAGGAGAATAAAACTATGAAAAAACAAAACCCCCTAACCTGGTACACATACTAGGGCAGTACCCAATAAAATGCTTAGGTTGGGTTTTTATTTTTACATAAGGCAAAGGCACATTGGTTTTAAAGCATTACCGGTAATGGCAATAAAGCCAAAACTCTCAGTTAAAGAGAACTTAAGGCCCAACACTGTTTTCCTCAATGCTTTTAATTCAGGCTTTGTTTCCAAGTGTAATAGAACTACAATAAATACAAAAATAACAGTTTAATAAAGTACAAGGACAAGTCTACAAAAACAACAAAGATCAGCAAACAAAATATTTTAAAACGTGATAACTCAAACATAAATGTTCCAACTGAAAGGTGACAATGCTGCCAGGCTGTAATCACTGAGATTGATATCTTTGACCACAGTCTTTCAGAGAAGTACATTTTTCCGGCCATGTTCACAACACAACGTGGGTACTTCTAGTTGGCGTGGCACAACCATTTTTTGCATATGTTGTTCCTAACCCCCACTTGACTAGGCCGCCATTCAAAAATGACATCACGGTATTCTAATAAGGCCTTCCAAATTATACTAACTGTCATCCAAGAATTGTAGACAATCACCCAAAATCGAGCAAGCTATTTCTCTTGCTTTCTCGTCCTAATGATCCCCATATGAAAAAGATCGCTGGTGTTAGTGTCATTTCGGACTGACGTGATTATGAGGCCGTAGTGACGTAATCTTTGAATGACAGACCAGGTGGGGGTTAGGAAGTGGTTGTGCCACGCCAAATAGAAGTACTTAGGTCGTTTAGTGAACATGCGCTCATTTTTCTGAATCTATTTATGGAAGAACTTTAGTAAATATGTACAAAGAACGAATTTCCCAAAAATCATTCATATCATATTTGGTAAAACACGTACAGTGGTAAGAAAAAGTTATAAGTAACCAATAATGCATAAAAAAAAGATTACACAGCCGATTTATACGTGAATTCTACTCTATTCTCTTTAGTAAATATGATCCCACTATTCCAGTTTTTTTAGGAGAATTGCTTAAATCAATGCCACACACTTAGAAGTGAAGAAGTCTCATCTTTGAGCAAAGTTATGGGCAACTGCTGGAAAGCCAAGAGCTATGCAGACTCATAGTAATATGTTAACTCGTAGTTGCCTGCGACTCTAAATAGCACACACACATTTGATCCTTACTTAAAAGCACTAACGAGCCGCCTTTTGGGTGCCAGACCATAGAATGGGTATGGAACGTTGCCCCGACGGGTACCTGGACTGAAACAGACCCAGATGGGGACCAAAGATATATTTTATCATTTCCTGTAGCCACTGCCAAACGACAAGTCTTTGGATCCCATTTTAACGACTTGATTTGCGAAGATTGCTGTAAAACGACGTACAAACATAGTTTTTGCATGCTCCATATAAAGACGCAAGTTTTCATACTGTCATCCACAGTCGCCAGATATTTGTTATCAGGACTAAATTCCATCCAACCAGCCCCGATTTTGGGGTTTGGCTTATCTGGGTTTGGGGGAATGAAAGGGAGATCAACGGGGTGTTCGCAAAATTCGTATCTACTTTGTGTGCTGAATAACGACGGCATCATGTTCGAGCCTTCTTCTTCTTTCGTGGGAAGAGTCGGTCGCTGTTCGACTTCTTTATAAACTACGACATTTCCGCCTTGGATTGTCGAAGTGTGCGTGAACTCTGAAATTGATTTCCATGTTATATGATTCAATAGGCGAACTTTTTGATCGTAACTCCCCACAGCGAGAAACTGGCTTGTCGGAGACCACGACATTTTTTTAATTCCTAATGCCCATTCGTATGCTTTATATGTTGCTAAGCAACGGCCGTCCATCGTATAGATCAAAACTTTATACCAAAGCATGTTATCCGCAACGCAGAGAACCCTGCCATCTGGTGACCACTCTAACGAAGCCATGTCTTCTGTGTCAGACTCGAAAATTTTCACCATTTGCCACGAGTCGACTGCGAAAATGCTAACATAGTCTTTGCATTTTCGAGTTTCACCGAGAGCGAGGTATTTTCCATCCTTTGAGAAGCTTAAACAATCTTTTGAATTCTTTACATATCGTATATAAGATACAGACTTGTTCACAAGAGACCAAACTGTGATTCGTAGATTAAAACTTGCTGTCGTAAGGATATGACGTCCGTCAGGGCTCCACTGAGCTCTAATAAGACCTGCCGACCCCTCATCAACTTTGCAAGTCCAATCTGGTTGTTCAATAGACCACACTTGAACAATGCCACGTTTAAACATAGCGCAGAGCAGGAATGCGGAGTCAGATGACCAACCGATTTGTTGAATAACATCCATGCATGTATAAAGTCGCAAAATTTGCAGAGTTTCGACATCTCTTATTATTAGTTTGTAAGAGACACAAGTCGCAATGTATTTTCCATCAGGAGAAAACTTACATAAAAAATTAGATTGCTTGAATAGCTCTGAAAAATTCATTCTTACGGTAAATCTGAAAAATTATTACACATGAAATTTAGAGAAGTGCAAATCGAAGTATATCACAGATTTTAAATCATATAGGCCTACTATTTTCAATAAAGAACACGATATAGAAGTTCTAGAACAGTGGTTCCCAACCCTTTTTTGGATCGTGGCCCGCTTCCGGGGGCTTTTAGCACTCATGGCGCCCATGTTTATCAATCCAGTGGTATATATAGTGTTATTTTGATTGGTAGACTCCAAATGCCAATATGTTCAAACAATATCAACCTCAACAAAGTGAAAACACCCAGCGAAAAAACCTTATCAAGCAATGAAACTAGGAAAGACGGGGAGTTTTCTTATAAAATGAAATGTCAAATCAGCTTTTCGCCTAGCATTGTGGCCCCATATGATGGGAACTGCTGTTCTGGAAGTTTGAATTTAGAGATTCAGGATAGTTGAGATGAAGAGTGATTTGATTGGTTATTCTTTATCACTCAAAACTAAAAGCCTTTGATCATACTGTGAGATTTCAATTGCTCAAAATAAAAAGTTGGACCTTTTCCAGTTATCCCCACCAATATCAACAACTCCTCTATTTTTATTTTTTGCTTGATGCTGGAAATTTTAAAAACTTTGCGAAATAATGGTGAATGTTTCATAGACATTCCATAGGCAAAATACTTTTATTAGTGAGAGAGGGTATTCATATGTTAGTGGGAGGAGGTTATTAGTAGTGTGGGGGGATGACTGAAAATTTCCAGAATAAACAATTTTTAAATTCTCAAATCTAGAGTTTGAGAAAATGACCGGATTTATTTTGAAAGAATATTCACTATCATTGCATGTATGTATCATTGCTACGATTGGAACAATTATTTCTCAGTAATTAAAATTCTAAAAATCATAACTATTTTACATGACAGTGTTACAAATAAATCATGCACGAAAAACGGAATATTACAACAAAATAAATTCAATCAAGCGTGAATATTCTACTAGAAATGTCATCAACAACCCAGTTCACCCCTTCCAATAGATTTGCCCCGGTTACGGCACTGCATGGAAAAATAGACCAATGATGTGTTTTAATACTGTCCAATTCCAAAACTTCTTTGATCTCTTCTGAAGAAAGAGACCCTGGTAGGTCCTGTTTATTCGCAAAAACGAGCAAAGTTGCCCCCGCCAGTCTTTCTTCAACCAAAAGAAGCTGCAATTCTTTTATACAATCTTCCATTCTTCGTTTATCAGCGCTGTCCACCACCCAAACTAATCCATCTGTACTCTCGAAGTAGTTTCGCCAATAAGACCGTAAAGATTTCTGGCCTCCAACGTCCCAAATGTTCAGTTTGAATCCACGATGTTCGATAGTTTTGATGTTAAATCCAAGCGTCGGCGAAATTGTATCGATATCTTCGCCGTTAAATTTCTTTAAAATTGTTGTTTTACCCGCGTTATCAAGGCCTAACATCAAAATTCGCATCTCTTTTTCTTTTTGCTTCATTTTTTTCAAAATTGTGAGCAGACCCATGTTGATATTGTGGAATTTTTCGACTAAAAACCAACAAATTCGAGTCAAAGAAAGGAAATATCGCAAGCTCGCCAACGACAATAACTATTTGAAGAGCAGTGACCTTTGGCCCCAAACTGTTCCGCGCTAATAATTTTTCAGTTCTATTCCAGGCGCCAGATTCACATGACGAAAAACACAAATAAATGAATGAATACAAATAAATACGCACATTAAAATTGATAGAGCATATTTCAAATACAGATTGTCTGAATTAATGTACAGGGTGGTAACACCAAACAAATCAATCATTTAAAGATGAGTAATCAATAATGAATTGGAACAAATCGATCAAAAAAACGATTTCCCAAACTCTCTGGGCCATTCCCGGTGCACAATCGCATTAAGAGGCGTGATGCCCCCTATATATAGATCGTATTTCTTCTCCACGAGATAAAAATGATGTCTTATCTCAGTTCAGCGGTATGGCGCATCGTACTATGCGTTAGGATACGCTCACCACCGCACTTATGATTACACTTCATTTGTTCGCAGGTTCCTGTGAGAGATAATTATTTGCCAGAGAGTTGCTGGAGGTCTAGTTGCCGTAGAGGGTTCACTTAATCGGAAATAACTGGTTATTTAATTCCATACCGACATGGACCCGGTGCACAACATAGACTGGTAACCGGGCGAGAGGCCGTGGTTTGCTATATGTTTGAGACGTTTGTCGGTTTTCCTTTTACCCGGGATAAATATGTAAATCCTATTCTGAATTTTTATTACTGTTATACCTATAATCAAGTATATTGCTGCTTGATAACCAGTATTTGTTTTACGCGCCCTTTTTCATCTTGGAATGCCTTTTTTACATTATTTTCTATATTCTGTTCGTAAAAAGTTTGTTCTCAGTATTGTGATAAAATAAACTACCGATTAATACATACCGAGTCTATGTTTCTGAAATCAAACAACTGGCTAACTAATCCCGTACTCCACATGGACCGGTAACCGGACGAAAAGTCGTGATATGCCATGTGATTGAGCCGTTTTATCGGCTTATTATTACTTAGACTAATTAGCACGATGGTCTTTTAAACTTAACCTCATAATTTCACAGCAGGGTTCAGCTTGGAAGGAAGGAGTTTAATCTATAAGCTATTTTATTTTTATGCAATATAACAGCGTGGTCCAAGGTTGCTAGATTGAAGGACCCCAGAAAATTTGAAGAAGGCCTAGCGGGCCACAGTCGGGATAACCCAAAAGTAATCTAAGTACTGCGAGTTTGGTTACTTTAAATTTAAAGAATGAGAGTTTACCGTTATTATCATTTTATTGTTATGCTGCATCGGTGTCGTTTTTCATTATTTATGTTGAGGAAGATATATTAAGCACAAACAAAACAATGTGTTGTTTCATGCTTTTGGTTACTGCTTCAGATATGCGTTTGGCTACTACTGGCCCACGTTGAAAATAGAGATGTGCTAGTACTAAAATAAGGCAAAAAATGTCTGAAGGATAACGGCCTATCGACACGTGATCGTACCGATCACAGAACGTCATTTCCATATCGACACCGCCTTGACGTTCATAAATACAACCTTCGTGATTCTAACAAATATGATTCCCGACATCGAAATTAGGAAAAGGTTTGAAATCTCGGGATCTCAACCCGAGTCAGAATAGCTAAAAAGAACTCAATGTTCCTCCAATAAATACAAATATCTGCCAATGGTTTAGTGTACGCTAAAATTGTTCTGCGGACCGCACACGGCCCGCGCACCAGGGTTTGGACCACCCTGCAATATAACATTGTCTCAAGGTAATAGAGAAAGTATTTATGGAATTTAAATAAAATTGTGCGTGCGTGCCTTAATTAGTTTTAATACTTTTGGGTGAACGAACACGTACTACTTCTTCCATCAATGCCTTTCCATCTAAAATCTGTACGCTTCAAACCTTACTTGAGGTTTCGTTTGCTTTCCCGATTCTATAATCAGGTATTTTTGTTTTGTTTCATCTATTATTTTATCATCTATTGCTGATTATGTAGTCGAAATAAACTTATACCTATAACTTATTGGACACGTTAGTGGACATAACAATCGTTTTGCATTTTATGATGGCACTCTTTTTTTTCTTTTTTGAATTCTTCTTGGTATCGTTATGAAAAAAATCACTTCTCTCATTGATTACTGGACCATTTGCTTTGAAATTTTAAGTGAGTAAAGATTATATTTCCTCTGGTTCGTTCTGGTTAACGTGATCATATATTTTTGAGCAGAGCTTTTTTGTGCAAACAAGAAAATGACATTTCTGAATCTAAGTACGTGACCTTTCATGATTTAAATTGTAGGCTGCGTCGAGATTAATTCTGGTTTCTTCTAATATGATGTCATAGGTTTTTGTTTATCAATTTAGGCTGAGTCGTCGCTCGGAATCTGCTGTCGTTTTTTCCTGATACATTGCGCGGTTTTGTTTGTGAATTTAGTGATTCTAGTGCTTTTTAAACACTTCAAAATAAAACTAATTAAATAAAGAATTTAGTTTTTAAATAAAACTCTGTAATAACTGGTCTGATGTAATTTACCTGTAGACTACGGTACGGTACGGTACCGGTACCAGCACACAGCCACAAGCTGTCAAGGAAATTAATCCGGTCGACATACAACCGCGGAAATAGTCCACTCACCGTTTTTTTTCGTTATCACAGACAGCGTTCAACACTATTTAAGCTTTACATTTATTAAACTTGCTGGATTACATATTCTGATTGACTCCGGTTGACTGGTGGATATTGATATTATAATTTCCGAACAGCATAACTGATTTATTTCTACACTTACAAAAATTTTGGAATTTAACGTTAATTGAGGGCACTTTCTGACTTCAACTGTTGAAAAGGTTTGTTACCGTACTTCAGTAGGCCTACTTATCTTTTCATTGTACTTTTCTCTAAACAGCTGAAGGTTGTTATCACATATTTTGAATATTCTGTTCTAGACTTCTGTACTTTGATTGTTTGTTAATATTTTGATATTTGTGTCCCTGGCTCAATTTTAAAATTTTTCAATAATAATAAACATTCAAAATGTTTACTTATTTACTTACGCTAGGTCCTGTACTTCTGTAATTTGATTGTTTTGTTACCATCTGTCTCTTTGACTCAATTTTATAAGGGCAAAAGCAAAATTTGAAAATGTGTACCTATCTACTTAGGTTTAGGTATTTAGTACAATATTATATTGTTGGGGTAATTTAGTGCTTGCAATCTTCCATACAAAGGCTTCTACAGCAATTATAACAAAATTAGCAGAGAGAAACTTTGTTCACATTTATAGTGAACATTTTGACTTTTCCTCTGATGCATCGTTGCGGTACGGCACACTATGCAGATTGAGCGACATTGTCCCGTTTCAGAGAAACCCATTTTACTGATGATCAGACCCCCTTTGGGGACGTTTGGACATGGTTGTTCCTCAATATCGGTAAAAATACAGTAAAATAAAGTTGCGCAAAAAACTACAAAGAAATTCAATCTAAAAACGTCATCATTAGATTCCTCTGGAAAAAATAATCCGATTTGGCCACATGACAGCTGCGTTTAATTTAGATTATTATCGAGACAAGCATGGTGCAATATGCCTCATCTTCTGTCATGCTAGATGCCCCTCGTTTGTAAGACGCCTGGAGTGTTTATTTTATTGAACCAAATGACGGGACATTCCTGGAATTTGGATAGTGTGCCCTATTGCATTGAACGAATTCTTGTTATATTGCTTAAAATTACTTTCTTTTTAGGTTTTTTGAAGAAAAGAGGAATTTACAAAAACAAATAATGCATAAGGAGTGTTCCCAACAAAATTCCACTACAATATTTTCTTCGCTTCTTGCTATTATTTCGTCAATTTCGAGTAGACTTTCGTGTGAGAACATTTGTAGTTTATAAACAAGTTAAAGGTCATTGAAGGTTGAAAGGTCATCACTGTGAAAAACTTTTTGGTACCGAGAAAATTGCACTTACTAAACAGGAGACATGAAGTTGTTAGAGAACTCTAACTTGGATCGTTTGAATAGCGTACTTTACACGAAAAACGATGATTGTCGAATTATCGGACGTATTGAGAGTTATTCATGCAAAATGGCTGGCGATGACAAGCGACTTTTTAAAGTATTTTCACACGATGCTCCGCCTACTGATCTTGCTGCGTTAGCACCACCTCAAACGATTTTATCAGCGAGTCCGAATGCCGGAAATTACAGTCGAAGTTTGAGTAGCGCCGATGAGAATGACAACCCACTCAGTCATGTTTGCAGTCGCAAAACGCTCTATTATCTCATATCTACTCTCAACGCGTCATTTCGACCTGATTACGACTTCAGCCACTCAAAAAGTGATGAATTCTCTCGAGAACCGAGCGTCACCTGGGTGCAAAGTTTCATCGACAATACTCTAGGTACTGTTCTCGGCGAACACTACCATCGCCTTCACAGCACTCTCTGGAACACGGTTGATGAGGAAATAGACCTCAAAGAATGCAATGTCTACTCATACAATCCAGATCTTGAATGCGATCCGTTCGGCGATGAAGGGTGTTTATGGTCGTTCAATTTCTTTCTTTACAATCTCAAAAAGAAAAGAATCGTATTTTTTACGTGCAAAGCGCAATCTGCATCTGCTGATGATGACTCCGGCCTCGGAAGGGATAATCTTGACATGAGTGATGAAGAAATGGAGTATTTCCTCGGAATAGAAGAAGAAGAAAACTCGATGCCTATCGTCGTTGAGTGATTTTGATCGATATTAATCGTACTTTCGAATTGAAGTTCGACATACGAATATTGTAAATATTCTTTCTGATTGCTCAATGCATGGTGTAGACCAAATTTAATAATTGATTATATGCTATACCAATAATACCACTTGAATCAATATATAATCAATTGATCTGTAAATTACCTGGAATTGATCTAGGCGAAATTTCAAACAGCCAATATTGTGGATTCTAATATGTTTTTTTAAAAAAATTGAAAAAGTATCGACCAATCTTGAAGCAATATAACAATACTTGCTTATAACTGAATATATAAGACAGATTCTTACTGGGCATTAGTCAACAAACAAATAGAAAAATATTAGTCAGTTAATTACAATTTTTATTGCTACAAATATTACTGTTCATGGCATCAAAATTTAGCGAAATTCAAGTTACTATTATTCGGAAAAATGTGTTCCAATAAAATTTTAGATTTGAATGTATAAAATTGCAATTTTTTTCGTAATGAAACCTTGGATTAAGTTAAAGCATATAGATTCTACTGGAATCATCAACATTGAAATTAACAACACAATAGAGTGGTACACTACCAACAATTTGTATATATCGACAGTCCTTAATATCAATTGATTTTTTTTGATCTCTCTGTGAGCCCTAGTTGAACTATAATGAAAATATAGGATGTTTGCTATTACTGGTATTTAGGAATCTCATTGAAGATAAAGAATGTCCAAACGAAATAATACAATTTATAGATTTTTTTTTAAATTCACATTAACACGAGGGTTCGTGTTAACTTTAAGAGAAAAATTTGGACATTGACACCCATTAGGAATGACTAAACAAATTGAAACAATTTTGAAAATGATATCTTAACTGACTTTTTTTTTTTAATTTTGCATTAATTAATACTAGGGTTTATGTTGTGTTTTGGAGAAAAATTTGGACATCTTCAATAATGTACAATTCGTCAGTTAATCTTTCTTTTAGATACATCAATTTTATAAGATGTGCAATGCACTACAATGCATATATAGCATCACTTACTTCATGGTATGATTCACTTATATTAATCATATAATGAGTCGTATGTATGACAGAACTGTACGTTTCTATGACATTTGCATTAGTTTGCTTAGATGATTATTATTGATTTTAAAAATTTCACTCAGACTGACTAATCATAGTGAGTTAGAACGAGGCTTCATAGATTTTTAAGCGCACAGCCCTTTCATACATAAAAATATTTTTCTTAAGTTGGCATTTTTATGTATGATTCTCAGGCCCCACAATCACAATCAAAGTCGGCTTTGTTGTGTGCGCTAGTTTCAATAATTATATTTTGAATCAAAAGTCTAAACGAGAATATCGGTTGGAAACCGAATACTTATCGATCGATAGTTAGGGGATCCCCCAAAACAGAAACTGCAGTTTCGATTCATCCGCTCGTGTAACTTGCGCACTGCGCATCGCACACACACACTCGGCGGGTTTCAAAATTCTCTCGCTTTACAAAAATCTAGATCACTTAATCAATAATTGATTGATAACTCGCTAATTATACGACATAACTCGCCCAAAATCAATAGGAATCTGGTCCGAGATAAGATGAATGCACATGCAAAATCTGGAGCAGATTCAATCTCGCTTTCGTGAGATATCGCGTGCATCTAACAGACAGACAGACATAAATACAGACAAATACCTATCAATATACTTACCGATCTTAAGATCGATAAGTAACAATAAATATTTTCTGGCTTGTGGCCTCTCAGATGAGGGGGGAGGTCATAGTTTGAGAAATTCTGATGTAGCCATGTATATTTAGTACTCATTATGTGGTCCATTCCTTTATGAAGCATGTATTGCAATTTGATATGGCGTGATTAACACCTCTCTTTGTTATGAACATGACAAGTAAGTGTGAATTGAAAAGCGCATTCATATCCTGTGTTTTGGAAACTTGTTTGATTAAATCTATATTCTGAGAAAACGCAGAGTAAGGTTATAGTTTGAAATAATATTTCATGTTGATATTGGCACTTTATAGTCATTTTAGGGCTCATCTTTTTCTGAACACGACTCTAGGCAAGCGCAAGTAATAAACAAGGAAATACCCATTTTACTCAATTTCAATCCACACAAGCTGCATGATAGATCAGAAAAGGCTATGGGCCCTAACTTACAATGATTGAGACATGTTAATGTGTTAGTATTCCTTCCAGTTGTTTTGGCTTTCCCTTGCCTACATAATTTCGTAAATTAATTAACAGCTAGAGGCTATTTTCAATTGGGCCTTTCAAGTGTCAGTAAGTGTGTCAACAGCACTTGATGCTTAACACTTAAACCCTAACTCTCTTTTCTTCATTACTGATAATGTTGTATTCTAAAATGCATTAAAGTGACTTTTTACGATGGTATATGGTGAAATTTATGTTTTTTATTTGCTTCTTGAGTAAGAGTAATGTACCAACCTTAATCTGTATCGTTTTTAGTAGCTCTTGGCATTGGTGGTCACTTATAATTTTGCTCAGAGATGAGTCTCTTTTACTTCTGAGTGAATGACTGTGACTTTGCACTGAGTGGAGTCTCCATTATTTTTGAGTGAAGGCCCATAACTTTGCCCTAAGATTACTCACTTCTGAGTGAGTGTACGTAACTTCACTCAGAGGTGGGTGTCTTAATTTTGAGCGAGTGCAAATTACTTGGCTTAGAGATGAGTCCCTTTTACTTCTGATTGCTTGTATATTTGGTCATAAATTGGTCTACTTTATTTTTGTGTGAGGGCTCGTAACTTTGCTCGGAGATCCTTTACTTCTGAGCGAGTGTGTTTGTGCTCTTGTTTATGTATTTTATTCTCTACATACTTAGCCACCAATTTTAATCTTTATATGTGTATATGAGATTTTATTATCAACGTTTTATTGTTAATTTTTCTCAATTTTATCTTTTTAAGTGTGTGTTCTTTCACCTCTGCTCAAGCTAATAGGTCTTGGTTTTTTCATCCTGATAACAAAATTATATTTTGGGAGTGTAGAAGAGACTGAGGGTCACCACACCATCACTTTAAGACGCAAAAGTGATTGAGGGCCGTCCAAATGTAATGACTCGCCGTTGTCATCAACTGGCAGTCAATGAGACTCCCACCTCGGATAATCAGGAATTTTCGAAGGGAGGGATTCTGAAATTACTGATTGTCAAGTTGGACCGCAACATCTAGCGTTCCAGTCCCAAGGCCAGAAAATGTGAACTGTCAAGAGATTTAAGCTTAAGGGTTAAAAATATGTATCAAGCTACGAAAAATTGCTATGTATGGTACGGAATTTTTTTTTTTACATTGAAAAGGGGGGTCCTACCCTCAAAACAACCCTCTAGTTACGGCCCTGGACCCAACCAACACTGATGTGTGACACCTATGTTTTGAATAAGCATATGTACAGTCAGCTTGCATAGCGCACAGTCGTAATTTCAAGGTTTTATTTCTTATTCAATTTCAATATGTTTTGTGATTGTTCTTTGTAAATAGTATTTTTGTACTGGTTCACAATACATTATTATACATCAGCTTGTTTCAGATGTTGAAAGGGGATTGGGTATAATAGCGATTATACGGCAGCCAGATCCTGCCTTTTAAAGCCCCTAAAAGACTTTGGTGTCCCATACGTGTCATCTCATAAACCATGCAAGATATTATTCATCTTCAAATTCGTTTAATCGGACTCGTCGTTTGACCACCTTGAAAATTTGTGCGAAGGGGATTCCTGCAGTGCTCCGACCCTAGGTTTTACTACGGGTTTAGGTTGTTAGTTTTGTAATTGCCACTGGAAAGCTAACTTGGAAAGATAGAAAAATTGTTGGTTAAGTACTGCTCCACTCATTTTGAATGTTCACGAAATTATAGTGTAGTAAAGCCAATTGACGAAAGACCTGTAATTAATTTTTTTCAGTATAGGCTAATAGGCACACTGCCAGCAAACAGATGAGATCTTGCAGCTGCAAGTTTAGAGGAAAATTCCAATAAAATATCTGGGAAGAGTTTGTATGCCACAGAACATACAACAGCATTTTTATGTTATCCTGAGACAAAAGGCAATAATATTGAGCCATGGCCTCTTGTATGATGACCAGTTGGCAGTGAGGCTAAGCGTTAGGCATATACTCGCCATCACCTTGTGTGAGCTCCATGCTGGAATAGAGCGAGAGAATTGCTAGACTGTGATATGTCCCAAAAGATTCACTATCACCCTAAAATACAGTGTGACTCAGTGTACTGTAAAGTGCTTAATAGTGCTAATATTGTGTACAGTGTTTTAATATTATTTTATATGTACAGTAACACATAATTTCATTTCAATCTTCTTTTCCAACATGTATCCTTTCAGTAACACAACATTATGGCACTTGTGCCATGCCTTGACCTTTGCACCCCTCCACCTGTACATGGCAATGAGCTTCCTGTCTGCTGGTACTCTGGTACTAGACTAGCCTTGTGCACTGAACAATCTGCTTTAACTATTAACCTGTAAATTACAGATAAAACAGTAGTTTACTGCAGTTAGGATTATATTCTTTGTTACTGATAATAAAAGCTCAGTTCTACATCTGTTGGTCTGTTCTTAGTCAAGCCAGGCTATCTGTCAGGAAGCAATCAAGCAAGCACAGCCCTGAACTTATTAGACTGGACTCCTCGTCGCCACGGGTGCTTCACATAAACCGCTTCCTCAATCAAGTCCATGCTTCCGGAAACAAATAACTGGCTAATTCATCCCACACCCGACATGGAATGGTAACCGGACGAGAGATTGTTGTTCGCCATATGGTTAAAGCCATCTCCTCACTTTTCCTCTTTACCTATCCTATCCTACATTTCTCTGATGCATGAACTTCTTCTATGGTATTTAAGGAAAAGCAGAGAAATTCACATTATATACCTAAGATAACAATAAACTCGTCAATAAACTTTTTCTCATTATTTTTATAATTTAATTCGGACCATAATATATCAATTGCACAAATATAAATTGAACTGAGATGAATTTACTGAGAAAAATATTGATATAGTACACATGTACCCATGAATGGAAGAATTTGAAAATATACAACTAGAACAATAATAAAAAAGCAATATTCTAAAAAGTGAAACTGGGTTTGATCAATAAAATTCATAATTTCTTCAAAGTTCCAATATTACACGAAGACTGAAATAAGTTGTGACGTCAAGAAAAGTTTACGGTAAACTGACAGACTCCAGTTGAAAAGTTTTGGTTCTGCGCTGAAGATTTTGATAGTCTCCAGCTCGACGAATAACTTATATTAAGAATTATGACATATGCACTAGTGCACGATAAATAAACTTCATGAAATTGGCTTATTTTATCACCATTGAAATTTAAATCCAAATTCCAACAAAAATGCCATATCTCTGATGTCAGGTTTTAAAAACCAGGGCTCTTCAAACTGGGGGCCACAACCTTCAATATATCCAATATAATAGAGGAAGCACCCAGGTGGGTGTCCAAAGGGAAGGCGGTAAAATCATTTTTGACATTAACTTGAGTAACACTGAAATAAAGCCAGGATTCAATCTATTGTACTACGCAAGCACATCGGTTCCATTTTTAAACTTTACTATGGTATTTTTATTAAATTTTTACTGTATTTATGAATTTTTCTGTAATATTAAATTTTAAACCATCAAAGGTCGTATAACTTTTTCCTCGTAACATTTCAAATTTTCAATACGTGTTTCAAAATTAGTTCCTGGTGGTCGCAAAAAAATAGGATTTTCCAAATGAGCTGAATGAAAAAATTTTGAAGAACAATATTATAAACAAGTCTATGTCCACACATCCTCTTTATATCTTCCCTCTTTGACAAGAGTTTTGAGATGTTTTTCCGCGTGCTCAAGTGACATTTCTTTAGAGAGAATCTGAATAAGCGTCTCTCGAACATCTTTTGCCATATTTTTAGCGTCACCGCAGACGTAAAAATTTGCGTCTCGTCGCCATAATAAGTCAAAAATCTCATTTGAATAAAGTTCCAGATTATCTTGCACATATTTTGGATCTTTAGTGCCATCTTTGGGTGGGGTATCACGAGAAAACGAGACCACTAGGTGGGATAAAACACCATTTTCAACAAAAGATTCCAACTCATTTTTAAAAAGAAAATCCTGATTTTTGTTACGGCAGCCATAGAATAACCAAGCTTCTGGACATTTTCCAGTTTCGGTTTTTCGCAATTTCAAACTTTCTAAAAACCCTATAAAGGGTGCAACTCCAGTACCAGGGCCTATCATAACAACAGGATCCAATAACGGAGACAAACGGAAACTTTCGTTTTTAGTTTTAAAGATTGTTAATTTAGGTAAATCGGTGGAAATACCACTATCCAACACAGTACCAAATAAAGACTCTAAATATCCAGTGCAAAGCCCTTTTCGCTGATACATTCTACCCTCAACAGAATCAAAATTAAGGACATTAAAGACAAATTTAACTTCCCCTGGATGGGCTTTGAGACAGCTTGCAGCAGAATATAACCGTGCTTTTAGTCTCGGTAAATGCTCGAAAAGGACCTCTAGTGGTGGATGGCAAGAAGGTAACGCAGCTAAAACGTCAAGAATATTTAAATTTGGTTCTCGAATGTACTTTATGAAATCGGCCATGGATTCTTTTCTACAGAGCTGGGTTAAGATGTTTCGCTCACTTTCAGAAGCTGTAAAATTGATTAAAGTCCGCAAAAGAGTCTTTTTTGGCACAGAACGAATTTCGAGACATTCTTCCAATAAATAACGGATTGTGCATATTTTAGGGATAAAATTTGGCACTTTTGCATTCTTTTTCTTCGTTTGGGGGTTGATTTCTATTTCGATTGTTTTGTCACAAAAGGATTCAGCTTTGAATCTTCTAATTAACCAATCAACTTCATTCGTTGGGTTCGGGACGACAATACCAAAAGAGTCACCAGGCTCGTATAAGAACTCCTCCCCAACCCCCAAAGTCACACAGAGCGCAGTCTTAACAGCGCCCTCACTGGTCAGTTTTTTAATAGATTTAACCGTGACTGAGTGGAACTTATCCGAGGCAGCTAAAGGGTATTGCACAGAAGGAAATTGAGGGGGGTTAAAAGTGATTTCCTGGTTTTCATTGGGATGGTCAAAGGTTATGTCCTGGTTTTCACAGGAGGGGTCAAGGGTTACTTCCTGGTTTTCAATGACATTGACCGTCAAATATGGTAGCATAGCTGGAGGTAAAGTGCCTTCGGATACCTCGGACAAGTCCAATAAAGATGATTCAGTGTTCATTTTAAGCACTGTATTTTCAATATTATCTGTTTCAAATGAATGATCATCTTTACTGATAATTTCAACTCTTTCATTCTCTACTTTGCCATTTTCAGATTTTTTGTCCATTTCGAGCGCTGCATTTTCGGAAGAATTGTTATTCACGGTTGATAGATTAATGTTTTTCATTTTATCTGATATCTCTGAATCAGTTTGATGCTGTCCATTCATAACGGGATCTTTCTGCCTGGTCTGGATATGGGATTTGAGAGCTGGCCAAAGACCTGATAAAAAGACGTATAGGGTCCATAAGTCTTCAAATTTTTTAAAATTACAGAGGGAATTCAACAATACCATATATTGTTTTGGCCTTCACAGATGTATTAAATGAAGTAAAAATACTTGAACAATTAGTGATTAAAAACAACAAACCTGGTTTTATATTGAGAATTGACTTCATAACAAAATTGAAATTGTAAAGTGACCTTTTGGACATTCTGTATAATTAGGGGTGGGTTCTATATTATTGTCTCGCCACAAATTTTGAGATTTGTTTTCTTTGTCTGTTTATTTCAGGGTTTTGAAAGATGGCAATGCAATAACCTAACTTAAGATCAAAGGCATAGCCGGGACTTTTCAAACGGGTCGGTTCTGAATTTTCTAATTGCCAAGTTAGACTGTGGCAGCCACCTGGTCTTCGTGAATCTTGAGGGTCTAAAAACAGTTTTAAGCTTTGAAAAATTGCTATTTATGTACGATACAGATAAATGCTTTTTTACATTTTAAAAGGAGGGTAGGGGGGTGGGGGGGTTCTAACACTCAAAAGCTTCCTGGCTATGCCTCTGCCTAAGATTAACAAAATCTGTCGGTAGCTGTTGCTTTACTCAGAGCCTAACCGCACATTACATTTGTAATTTTAGGTTCCATTACATTTGAACCCACGTACATTTGAACCCATGGCAATTGCACCTGTATGCTATTGCACCTATGGAATTTTTTTTGTTTTTCGGATAGTTGAACTCATACTAACCCTAACCCATGGGTTTTAGCACCCGCATATAGATTGAACCCGCGGATATACACATGGGTTCAAATGCACGTGGGTTCAAATGTACGGTCACTGTAATTTTACACTTTCACTTATGATGACGCAAAAAAAATGAAGTGATTAAATTTTCACCTTCAATCCACGGTTCCACGACCATCTCCAAGTCTGTACCATCATCAGCAAATCCTATGAAAAGAAAAGTATTTCATATTAGCGGCAACTCGGTGATGTGGTGCATCATACTAAAGCGTTAGGAAAACTCTCTGATTATCCTGTGTGGGTTTGCAGGTCCGATTTCATTCGGGGTAAATTATGGTCGAGAGGATTGATGGACTCCTCGCTGCCATAGGGTGGTTCACGTAACCGCTGGTCGGTTACGACTTCCTCCACCATCAAGTCCATGCGTCTGAGAACAAATTACTAGCTAACTAATCACATATCTGACATTGACTGGTAACCGGAAGAGAGGCCGTTGAAATAAAATGTGTTTTTTCCAATATCGCAAATTTTGAATATCAGGATATTTAACTGGGAATTGCTAACACCATACCTGAGGAATAAAAGCTTTTTGCTCCCAGTTTTTTCAAAGAACGTTGGAGAGTTTTTGGTCCCCCACAAAAGGTAGAATAGTTGCTATCCCCCAAACCAAGGAGAGCGTAATGAAGCTTGGATAAATAATCGTTTTCTAATGTTCTTCTCTGAATCATTCTAACAAATTTTCTCGCTGTACCTGGTAGTTCACCATCACCTAGAAATATACATACAATGATTCACTCTTCAATAAATTGTATTGAATTCTATTGTATATTATAATTAATTTTGACCCAGAGGGGCCACACTGCAGTTGAAGGGGGGCCACGAAGCTAGCCGTAGAACGGATTATACATTTCCTTTTTCAAGAAAACCTCAAGTTTTGGCTTTATTTCATTTCTTGATAAGGTTATTTCACAGGGTGTTTTCACTTTATCGAGCATGAATTGTTTGAACATAATTAGATTTAGAATCTACCAATTCAAATAACACTATAACTACCACTGGAATGATAAACAGGGGGGCCAACGACGCGGGTGTTAAAAGCCCCAGGAAGGAAGCCACGAGACATAAAAGGATGAGGCCCCCTTCATTAGGACATTGGTCCCAATATGGTGAACTCACCTGTCGTTGAACAGACGAAAACAACCGGAACATTTTCTTCTGATACCATCTTGAAACATTCGTCCGCTTTACGAAGGCAATAAAGTGTCGACCTGAGTATACAACAAACTATATTTAAAAGTAGGTATATGGATTGGGATTAGATAGAATCGACAAATCATGGATTGGGTACTACTATTGCCCCCACTAATTTTCTGTGATGTTTTTTCAGTTAAAAGGTGGGGTAATGGCCCCACCCATAGGGTCTCAAAGTGCTCCATACTGAGCCCTGTGGCTCAGTGAAAGAAAGTAATCAAGATTTTCATTTACTTATTTAAAATACAGAATACTTTTTAATACAAAGCAATTTTAGTTTACTTTGGAAAAATAATCATTGGTAAATAACATGATTCTTGTTTTAATTTTTATAAATATATTCAGGGGAGTAATGGTCAACTTTTTCACAGGCTTACTAACCCCAAAGGTTGAAAACCCTGCCCCTAACTTATCATTCCCAAAACAAATAGAATAAAAAAGTCACAAAAATGTACTTGATCTCATGCTCTTCTGCAGTTTCATGGATTGTTTCTGCGATTGTCTCCGCTTGCCCTGCAAAAGAAAGTTTGTTTTAAGAGAGTGAGTAAAATTTTGCTTTATGGAGACAGGCTACTCATATTTTTAGTTTTTGGACACGAAGTGGACATAACGATCGTTTCAAAATTTTGTTGTTATTATTATTTGTCTCCGTCTCCATTTTTGAAAAATTGCTTTTCTCTTCGAATACTGGACCAATTGCTTTGAAATTTTCAGTGGTTGAAGATAAAATTTTTCTCCAGAAGGCTATTACTTTTTTTTTCCGCTATGACGTCATCAAAATTATTGTCATTGGGTGGCGCTACGTGTCCATATATTTGAGCATAGCTTTCTTGTTATGAATATGATTTCCGTTGGAAATATCACTGAAAATAACGTCATAATGACCAAGATTGTTACATTGTGCTTCTTATTATTTTGTAAACGTTAGTCTAGCTCAGGGGTTCCCAAGCTTTTTTCAGGACGACCCCAAAGACAACTTTCAAGTGTCCAGTGCGACCCCAGGTCAATATATATATATATTTCATGAAACTTTAGAGATCCTTTCACTGGATTCTTGAGTTTGGTTATGTGGTGGTATTGAGTGAAAAAAGCTAAAACCAAACAGTGATGTCACAATAAGCACCTACATTTTCTATAGCATAAGCATAGAGCGATACCAATGGGCCTGTTTTACAGTAAGCCATGATACAAACTGCTAAAGTTAACATGGTTTGTCAAATCTTAGATGTTTTGTACATCCATCCTCTGACATACCTCCGCGACCCCACCGACCACATGACCTGTTTGCGACCCTACCTACTTATCACTACGACTCATTTTGGGGTCGCGACCCCTGGTTTGGGAACCCCTGGTCTAGCTGTTGTAAATAAACTGTTTTTTCAGTCATAATGTTTCATACTGGATTTTGAGTCTCCCGACCAGTAACCAAGTCTATTATCTGAAACTGGCCCACGGTTATGCCGTATGCTATGTAAAAACAATAGATATGAAAGTTAACAAGACAACTTCATCGTGTAGTCGAACATCTTTCTATTGACACCGACAGAGTTTACCAGTGATTTGTTTGATTGAGATGCATAAAACTTTTATTCCATATTCGAAAATATTTTTCAGAATGTATTCAAAATATTGAAGTATTCGATTTTGACAATCCCTGAATACAGTGGGTTAATATACAACCTTTAATATCTGGCCCAAGCTTGAAAACCATCCAGCTTGAATATTGAAGCTTATTTTTTCTCTAATCAATTTATCATTAGTACCTCATTAATTAATGAAAAATCAATCAAAAAGTAATTTATTTTACTCCAGGAAAACTGTCTATGACCAATCAATGATGTTTTCGCTTTCCACTTTTGTTAGAATATTAGAGACACGAGCCTTCAATTTCATTGATCATGGGTTTGCAAGTCAGAAGGTCATCGTGAATGGCCAAAATCGAATATTTTACTATTCCGATTAAATTCTGAAATTTTTTTGAATATAAAGAATTTATATCCATTTTGTTCGCCCATCTCTGAATTTGTAAGAAAATAAGATTCTGAATCATACAGAAGGCCCATAAAATCAAACCTGTTTGGGAGCCGTACATCACAACAATTTCATCTTTGGCCATTTCCGAGTGTCAGTAAAATTCAGTTGTTCATGCAATTCAGTATTTCACCAAATGCAGTTATGTTAATATTTAGAAAATTAATCTGAAGAGATAATATAACACAATATTGAAACATGAAAAAATAAGGAATAGTGTCTTTTGCAAAAAAATTTTACATGTGAAGTTGTGAGCTACAAATTTAGACATACCGTATTTATTCGAGTATAACGCGCTGTAATAATTTTTGATTGAAAATAGGTATAATTATTATGATTATTTTATCTGACTTCATATTCATTTTTTGTATATAACCCTTAATTTTTGATTGAAAATCAGTACAGATTTATGGGTGTTATACTCTAATAAATACGGTAAGTCTACGCTTCCATAGCTTCCAAACCCGGAGTTTCCTGGCCAGAAAGGAATTCCCTGCCATGAGCAAACCTATAAGGGCACATAGCATTTCGATGGTTGCATTCAAATCCTCTATTGGTACTCTTCCCACTTTTATTAAAAAGCCCGGCCTTGCTTTGGGGGAATTAATTTACAATTGTTCACAAATGCAGTGGTCATACAAAAGAACAGCCCTTGAAAGAATTAAGGGTCTGGTCTGCTTTACCACAGTTCTAACTCAAACAAAAGAAATATTCTGGCCAGACACGCTCCAATGAATCCCAAAGATGAAATCAGAATGTGCTGAAGTAGACTCTAAGGAAATTGCATTGTAATAGAAAATGTTGAAATTACAAAATGAAACTATGATAGGATAATATATTCATTCAAAAGGGAAAGCTGACAAATAAATAAAACATATTCATAAATAACGCTTTTCCCTATGACAAGTAGACTAAGATTCTATTTTTTTTCTCAATTGTCAATAATTCAGCATGTTTAAGAAGTGGTATTAATAAGAAAGTCAGTAGAGTGACTCAACAAATTTGAAAGTTTACATCTGTTCATAGCAAGGAACTAGCAGACTAGCTCTTTCTACAAATCTTAGATATGATGTGAAATAGGATCTTCTTGCATATCAGTAACTGTTCATGTAAAGCCTACTGACAGCTCATATAAAATGTGTAATCGAGACACATATCACAGACATAAAGAAAATAAGAAATATAACAGCGATTCAGATAAGAATCTCAGATATAGCTACAGAAAATAAACAGTGTAAATTTTATATCAAAGTGTGTATGTATATTGGCACCAGGGACGGCTAAAAATAATCAGACTATAGTTGATTTACTGATAGGCGATAATCCTATTGCAGCGGTTCCTAAACGGGGGCCACAGAACAGTTGGAAAGGGGGGGAAGGGGGCACAATAACAGGCGCAAAACTTATTTTACTTTCCACAGAAAACTCCCCGTTTTTCCTAGTTTCATTGCTTGTTGATAAGATTATTTCACAGAATTTTAGTGCAACAAAATCTTGAAAGCTCCCGTTTAAAATTTCCCTGTTTCAATTGCTTAGAATGAAAATTTTCCATATGAAATTTAGAGTCAAAACAACCTAGAGTTAGAAGCTTTTTAGAGAGAGTACACATGATGGAAATCATAATTTTTAGAACCTGTCCTCTTTTGTATTTAACTCACTAACAACAGGTCCCTCAATTCAGAAAATGTATGCCCAACTAGAGCTCCAAATTACAAGAGCAGGTACGCTGATTAACATACCATTTCAAAAATGAATTCACACTTCTGAATCCCACTATTGGAGAGGGGGTTTTCACAACTTCACAGCCCTGGATATAGAAATGACACGAAATAAAGAAAAATGAAATTTCAATAAAAAAATTTCTGACTTTCACAGTATTGCTTGGTAATTGCTTTGTGTTGTTGAATACCCACTGTCTCCTTGAGTAGGGTGCTGAGAGCTTGTTGTGTCATCAAAGGCATGGCATTGAATTTGTGGCATTGACACATCCATAATGCCAGGAACTGATGTCTCAATGCCACTAGTGTTGCATGATTTTGGTAGAAACAATTTTTTTGGACTAATTGTATCCATCTTTGTTGGTTTCATATCCAAGTTACCTGGATGTAATTGATCAGATGAATCTGTGGGCTGGATACGACTGCAACCAGCTGAAATGGGATTCGAACTCGAGAATCCCTGACTGCAATATAAAACTGAGGTACTGTGTTTTTCAAATTGCATTTGAATATCGTCATTGCACAAGTCTTGGTTACAAGATGTTTGGTCTAAAATCATAGAGATGTCCTCGTTCGTGTTTTCCAAATTCAAGTTTTCGTTTTCTATCATAACCATGGATGAACAGGCCATACTGGAAGGTAGAATATTCTCTTTATTACTTTCTGCGTCTGATTTAATTTCAGAATTTTCCATGTTGTCGAAATTGACAGATTTCTTCGCTGAAGGTGGCGTTTTTGAAGTCGAGAGTCCAAAATCAATCGCGCTTTTCGCAAGACTAAAATCATCTGAAATTGACGGCAAATTAGGACGTGTAGCTGTCGACGATAGCATTGAGGTTTCGTCAATTTTGATTCCCAAAGTGTTAAGTTTTGTGTTTTTATCCAAGTGTTTGCAAGGAATTGGGGAGAGCATAGGTGAGGGGCAAAGTTGTCTACTTTGTTCACGAACATTCAGCCAGTTACTCGAGTTTATTTGATTCGTCGAAGATGACTTTTTCAAATGAGGTTTATGATCGATTGGTTGAATTGGGGACAATGGTGGACTGTCCAGTAATAATTGCCTCCGACTAGACTCCATAGCTGGAGGGGGATGGCTATGACCCTCTAGCGCTATCTTATGGCTCGACTTTTCACCTAACATTCCGGAAACGTTAAAAGACATTGATGCGTCTTCTAATGTATTTTCATTATTCGCAGATAATATTTCACTTTGCGGCATATCGTTGAGAAAATCATCACACTTGACTGGAGATAATTCTGGCGAATCAAGCTCATGCATTTGTATTTTCATTAATTCTTCATCCTCGCTGCTGCCGAGAAGCATTTTTCGCCGTCGAACGCCGCTTCCAAATCTTGGTCTACTGGATTTTGCGGAGCATGGGGTCTTGGGATCGAATCCCACTCCACTCAGTAACGGACTAGACGAAAAATGTGACTGACATGTACTCGGAGTTCGAGATATGTCTCCATGCGTTGGATGTGTCAAAGGAGTCATATTATTATTACTCGGCTGAATTTTGTGAAGCGGAACAGGTGATTCAGCGAATTGTTCAAGGTCATTGATGTCATCGATATGTTGGAGCATGTTGATATTTATTTCTCCGTGTTTATCTCTTGTGTCGACTTCACGACCATCAGGAAAAAATAATTTTCTACGTAAAGAAGTGTTGTTTAGTATCTCACTTGTATTTTCAGTCTTTTCTTCGTGAGTGTAATATTGTCCTAATATCGCTTCAAGGTCGAAATTTTTTGGCAAGGTCAAAGTCGTTTGCGTAGAAACGTTTTTTGCTTCGACTGATGTTTTGATAAGTTTTTCTGTGAAGACATCCTCGTCTTTTACATTTTTACCACAACTGGTAGCATACTTGCCATTGTTCGCTAAAAATTTCCGAACTCTGATCTGCGAGGAGGATGAAAGGGATGACGCTGCGGACGATGATGAACATCCTGGCTTCACTGTACCACACGGTGTCATCAGATTAACTTTTTTCTTCATTTGTGCCGGGGAGGGGGAAATAAGAGCAAGGAGATGTTGATTTTTTGAACGATCACCAGACCAGGGACTTGGAAGCTCAATGTGGCTTGCGAAAAATTCATCAATGGCTTGTTGGGCACGGCGTTCGCTCGCTGGGTCGAGTCGTAAAAAATCTTGCTGGTTATGTAAAGAGGAGAGATCGAAATCCATTGGTTTTAAAACTGCGATTTGATCAATATTCCAAAAACTTTTAGGAGTTTTTTGTGAATCTGTTTCCGAGGTAACGTTCATGCGAAACACGGACGGACTGAACGACGGTTGTAGCAGGCTATCAATCGAGTTATGATTCTCAAACGGATTTGTGATGCTGAATTCATTTGTACTCGGCTGATCAGAGACATCGTTACTACTACATTGACCACTAGTGGGAGATCTTGAGGTGGTTTCACCAAGACCTCTGTTTTTATCATTTGGCGAGGCCATTGGTTTTTATTTAGCAAAACCTGAAGACACAGAAAAGAATATTATTGATTACTACAGTACTATGCTTAATATTTCTCTTAGTCAATTTGAGGAGGGTTGGTAGCATAAAAGTCATATTGGGGATGGCAAAATACGGTCGAAAGGTGGCAGATTAGGGATGGCGAAATAGGGACGAAAAGCCAAATTGGGGATGGCAAAATGCGGTCGAAGCGTGGCAGATTAGGGATGGCGAAATACGGTCGAATGATGGCAGATTAGGGATGGCAAAATGCGGTCGAAGCGTGGTGGCAGATTAGGGATGGCAAAATGCGGTCGATGGGTGTCAGTTTTTGCCAAATCGACTGTCATAATGCGCTGTTTAGTATACAGATAACAATTAACAATTGCCTCAAAATTACAAAGAAATATGGCCAAAGTGTTTAGATTTGGGGCTGATGAAATGGATTAGTACCTGTCAAATTCGGGCTGGCAAAACACAGTCGATGAGTGTCGAAATGGGATGGCGAAATGCGGTCGAAGCGTGGCAGATTAGGGATGGCAAAATACGGTCGAAGCGTGGTGGCAGATTAGGGATGGCAAAATGTGGTCGAAGCGTGGTGGCAGATTAGGGATGGCGAAATGCGGTCGAAGCGTGGTGGCAGATTAGGGATGGCAAAATGCGATCGAAGCGTGGTGGCAGATTAGGGATGGCGAAATACGGTCGAAGCGTGGCAGGTTAGGGATGGCAAAATACGGTCGAAGCGTGGCAGATTAGGGATGGCGAAATGCGGACGAAGCGTGTCAAATTGGGGGTGGCGAAATAGGGTCGATTCCTGTCAGGTTTGAGATGATGAAATATGGTCGATGCGTGTCAGATTAGGGAGGGCAAAATAGGGCAGTGGGTTGACGGGTGTCATGTTAAGGATGGCGAAATGCGTGTCAGATTTGGAAACGAACATTGTCAAATTTAAGGAATTATTCTGATCAGTGTTTCACATTTTAAAATTCATTTAAAAGGTATTGTCCGATTTTTCATCGTGTCTTTATTTTATGATTAATTTTAATGTTTTATATATTATTACATTTTTCTCATCAAGTCTTGAACATTTTTTTTATATTTTTCTGATTAATAATTTTAATACAAACAGAAGACTGCAGAAATAAGGATTCGTCAAAAAGTTACATGCAACTCGGAAAATGTAATCTACCTGCATGCAATGCATAGGAGAAACGGGAAGACATTTAAAATACCGAATAACTGAACATATTTAAAAGTATAAAAACCCAAAACAAAGATCTGGTTGTTGGCGCCCATTTCAGTCAACTTTTTCAATTTAGCGTCATTGAAAAACTATTTTATGACCACATTTATCGAAAGAACAAGGAATCTCAATATATCCATATCTTCGGGACACTTGAGCCACAAGGGATGAATATTAAGGAAGTTTAGACCAATTACAAATCTTTCATTCATTGTTTTAATCAAATTTTGTACCTAATGTTTTTTCCTCAGAATTGAATCATGCATGACCAGACATGATAATAACAAACAAAATATCACTATATTACATTTGACACACAGACAACTTTTCTGGTCTGCAATATACAATACTGAGAAACACAATTGTTTAATTTGGACTTCAATTGTTAAATATAAAAGAGAGAGATCTCATCAATGACATTTATTTCGGCCACCCGCTGTTATCTAATCAAGAATTCGCAGATTTTATTGATTATTTAACATGCTGTGACTCCCATAATTTTACACTGATTGTTTAAATACTGAAATATGAATGTAACTGCTTTTCTTGTTAGAGTTGAACTATGTATGTCTGAATAAGTCTGACCTTGGTCAGACGAAACGTTACAGAAATATATTTGTGTTAGTGTGCAGCAAGACTCTTCAATCACTTATTATTTTTGTTATCATTTTTGTTTTTATTATCGTATTTTATGCTGATTATGAAGCGTGAATAAACGGGTCTCGTGTAGTTTCCTACCTAACGTGCTTCTAGTAGGCGTAGCATAACAATTTTTTCACGTGTCGATTCTAACCCCCACCTGACCACACCATTCTAAAATTACGTCACTACGACGTCACAGTGACGTAATAGAGCCCTTCGAATTATGCGAACTCTTGTCCAAGAGGCGCAGACGAGAACCCGAAATCGAACAGCCATTTCTCTCGTTTTCTCGTCGCAACGATCCCGATAGGAGAGAGATCGCTGACGTTAGTCAGTTCTTTATCGACGGCGCCATTGCCATTTCGGGCGATCATACAAGTATTTGACAAGCTCTATGACGTGATTGTGACGTCGTAGTGACGTAATTTTTGAATGGCGTAGTCAGGTGAGGCTTAGGATTGGCATGTCAAAAAATTGTTATGCTACGCCTACTAGAAATACGTTAGGTACGAAACTACACGAGACCCGAATAAACTTATACTTCAGTACTTGTAAATTAATATTTTTAAGCAACTGCCAAGGCAGCAAGACGTCTGAGAATCAACAAAACTCATAGCCCTGGAGCCTAACTCAAACTGCTGAACTGTCTTGTTTCATCTGGGATCCAAAACGCAGACTAATCGTATACCTGGAACGCTTATTACAGAATCGGAAGAACAAACAGAATTTTAAGGTTGGAAACGTGGTACAAAATTTGAATTGATAAATAAAAAGTGTTACCGTACCACAGTACTAAGGTAGTCTACATCTTCACTCTCATATATAAAATCTTGCTCCAACCAAACTCAGATATTGTATTAAAAAGTCAAATTGAACACCAAAATACAGATGTCCTATCCCAATATTGAAAAGAGCGCCACAACCGCCCGTCACCACGACAAAAACAAACTGGAGATGGCGACCTAGTTTGCAACCGTTATATACCGTGGCGTTGATGCTGTTTTTTGTCGGTATATTTCATAATCATATATTTAGCTGGGCCACACAAAATATTTAGTTTTCCCATGTAGGGTACACAACGAAATAAAAAATTATCACAAAGCATGATTAACTAAACGCAGCGACAAGAGTAAAAAACATTAGATATTTCTACCCATGTGTTCCGCCTTTTTAAACATAAACTTTCGGTTGGGATTTTATACTTGATGGGGAAAAGCTGAGTGAAGATAAGGGCCCTACTGAATAGTCTGGCTGGCCGGGATGTGGCCCGCGGAACACCTGTTGCGCACACGCCACATATTCTCTATATTTCTTTTATTTTTCGAAATAATTGCGAGTAATTCAATGTTTTAGACATAGAATGCATTTTTAATAATCTCTGATGAACTATGTATACATTTTTTTTACAATCAGCTGTTTAATGACGGAAAATTTTATATAATGTGAATTCCAGCTTGTTCGTCAAGAAAATGATGGTTACCAGATTAAAATTTATTTCAAACATTATTTTAACAAATTTCATTATTTAATTGCATTTCAGTGTTTAAATGTTAGTCATTATTTAATATTAAAAATAAAATTTATTATATTTATAGTGTTTTAGTGGTCAAACTATACCGAATTACGTACGGTATTTCGCAATCATTTTTTTTATGTATTTATTCGATGTTGAAATATCTTACGTGTGGCATCATAGCTATGCTTCAATGCCGACTGTTTTTTTGCTCTTTTGTGTAACGATTTTCGCCGTTTTAACAATTTAGGAAGAAAAATTAGAAATGGATTAAATGGACTTGTAATTTACTTGGGACGTACCTGCTGAGTGAATACTATTCAGGAACTGGTATGATTCTAAGTTTTCTATCTTATTAAACTATATCAGTATATGAAGCCATCTATGGTCTCCAAAATTATTGGGCTTCGGTGAATCACGAAATCTGTAAAACTAAAAATTAATGGCCTCGCGGTTCTAAGGCGAGAATGTGTACAATAACCCATACCTATGATAATGCCTTCAATCATCATCAGGTTACAGGGTTAGTGCATCCGAAACAAATAGACTAGTCTGAAAACTGATTCACAGACAGAGGCTAATGAGCAAAAAGAGGCCGTTGTTTGACATATGTCAGTATGTTTGAGCCATCTCATTAACTTTCCTCTCTCCAGGTTGAATATGATAATTTTTAATCTTTTCACCTTACCCACTTCCCTAAATGGTGAATGCATTAATAAATGTCAGGATGGGCCCCATAAACAAAATAATTTTATTATGTGGAGGAAGGGGGTGGGGTGGCCAATGTTATTTTTATGTTTTGTAAAAATTGCTGAATTGTATGTCACATAAGAATTTTGTTCATGTTTATTAAATTGATGTATCATGCATGAAACTCAAAAATATAGAAACTTTGATTTGCATTTTGAAAGAATTGACTATAACCAGTACGGCACACTATCCAAATTCCAAGAACTTCCCTCCATTTGGCTCAATAAAACAAACACTCCAAGTGTCTCACAAACGAGGGGCGACTGTCCCCACGTCAGATGCTTCATATCGCGCCATGCTTGTCTCAATAATAATCTAAATTAATCGCGGCCGTCACGTGACCAAACTTGCCGTTTTTTGCTAAAAACTCTCTAATGCAACGGTAAAAAATTTTTTCCTTTGGTAAATCGTTTTTTTTTTCCTGAGGCATTCAATGATGATGTTATTAGATTGCGCTTTTTTGTAGTATTTTGCGCAACTTCATTATACTGTATTATTACTGATATTGAGGGACAACAATGTCCAGACGCCTCCCAAAGGAGGGGTGGCTAATCATCGGTAAAATGGGTTTCTCTGAAATGAGACAATTTCTCTCAATCTGTTTAGTGTGCCGTACTGATAACTGCAGAACTGTGGGAACCTGACCTGCTTGTGTATCCTCTTTTTTTTTTGTCTGCGGTACGGCACAGTTCTTTGCTTCCAAGAATAGCCACCACATTGAAGATATAAAATTTATAACAGTGATCGCAAAAACCCTTCTTTAACAAGATAGTCTGAGTCTATATTAGGGTGGTTCTCATAACCGCTGTTCAGTTACGGCTTCCTCCACCATCAAGTTCATGCTTCTGAAAACAAATAACTGTCTAACTTATCCCATACCCGACCTGGACCGGTAACCGGTCGAGAGGCTGTGGTTTGCCATATGATTAAGCCGCCTCCTCGACTTTCCTCTCCCCGGGATAAATATGTAAATCCTCCCTTCCTATAATTGACGCAAATTAACAAACTGGCACTGTCTATGAATTAAAATCAAGCCGCAATCTGAAAACATCACCATTAAATTAAAATGGAAAAAAAAACTCTGATTTATCGATTTACAGAAGGTAAATAAATTGTACCGTAGCATTCAAAAGCTCTTAGCAAAAATTGTTTGCAGGAGAGAAATTTGGTCACATGATGGCCGACACACATTACAATGAATTCAATTTTTATTGAGACAAGCATGAAGCGTTCTAACGGATCAGCCGTCACGCCAGACAGCCACGTTTTTGTGACAAATCGAGTGTTTGTTTTTTTGAACCAAATGTCAAGACATCTTGGAATCAGATAACTGTGCCCTATGGCCCTATGTAATTTATTTTTATTAGCCTATTTCTTTAGGCGTTTTCACACCTTGAACTCCAAACTATTTGGCATTGTCGGCCTAGTTCACTTCTTTATAGCATTTTAGCAATTTCAATAAATTTTCATAACTCATTGCTTCTACATAATTTCAGTTATTTATAATAGCTTGTAAATTCGTACGAAAAATTTATTTGACTAAAATCTGAAAATGGCTGATTCTGATGTAACTAAACTCAAACAGAGAATAAGGGATTTAGAAAATGAGGTCGCAAAATTGAAAGGGGCCGGGGAGGAGGCCCAAAAAATGCGGAATAAAATTGATAAGATGAGTTCGGAAGTTGTTGATACAAATCCCTACAGTCGACTTATGGCTTTGAAGAGAATGGGTATTGTTGAAAATTATGAGATGATTCGGACATTTGCAGTTGCGGTTGTCGGTGTTGGTGGTGTTGGGAGCGTAACGGCAGAAATGCTGACTCGTTGCGGAATAGGAAAACTTCTTTTGTTTGATTATGATAAAGTGGAATTGGCAAACATGAATCGGCTATTTTTTCAACCCCACCAAGCGGGGCTGAGTAAAGTGAAAGCCGCGGAAGATACGTTACGAGAAATAAACCCCGATGTTGAATTTGAATCACACAATTATGACATCACAACTATGGATAATTTTCAACATTTCATGGGCCGTCTTCAAGAAGGTGGAAAGGTTAAAGGTCATAAGGTCGATGTTGTGCTAAGCTGTGTGGATAATTTCGAAGCTCGAATGACTATCAACACTGCTTGTAATGAACTTTGTCAAAAGTGGATTGAATCGGGAGTTAGTGAGAATGCTGTTTCCGGTCATATTCAATTTATCGACCCTGGTGTAACCGCGTGCTTTGCTTGCGCTCCACCGTTAATCGTAGCGACACACACGGACGAGAAGACGTTAAAACGAGAAGGGGTGTGTGCTGCTAGTTTACCTACTACAATGGCTGTCGTTGCAGGGCTATTAGTACAAAACACTTTGAAATTTTTATTGAAATTTGGTACGGTATCGAACTACGTTGCATACAACGCGTTGCTCGATTTTTTCCCTTCGATGACAATGAAACCTAATACAGATTGCTCTGATTCTTTTTGTCGCAAAAACCAAGAAATTTGCAAGGAGCTTGCGAAAACAGCAAAACCTGTAAAGGAGAAAAAAGTAGAAAAAAAAGAAATCTCGACCGAAAACGAATGGGGAATTGAAATAGTACAAGATGAAAACCCGCAAGAAGATTCAAATCCTGTTCCTAACTTAGTCGAAGGATTATCTGTAGCTTATACAGTACCAGCCGCAAAAGACATTAATTCAGCAAATGAAGAGACTGTGGACACTTCAGGTGCTTCGTTAGAAGATCTAATGGCACAAATGAAAAATATGTGATGGGGGGGTATCGGACCTTTTTGGGGGTGTGCAATTTTTAATAGGAAATATGGTTGCAAAGATTATCAGTTCTATATGGAGAAGGATGATAAAGAATACGGATTACTCTAAGACAGGGGTGGGCAGATACGGCCCGCGGGATATATCCGACCCACAGAAGTGTTTCATCTGACCCACCGAAGCTTTAATTTACTAAACTAGGTATTACGGTAATTCTTGATCTTGTAATTATTGCCAGATTGTTGTATTTTTTATTTGTGGTTGCACAATTGATGTTTGACATAGTTTTTCGCACAGAACCCAAGTCATCAAATTATAAAGCAGCTGTCCCAAACTGAGCGCCCGTGGCCCCTCAGGGTGGTTGCGAGGGGGCAGGACTGATTTTACTTGTCCCTTGACAAGAAAACTTGTTCTTCCTAGTTTCATTGCTTGATAAGGATATTTAACCCGGTTTTTTCTTTTTATTGAGCTTGAATTATGCAAACATAAAGGGATTTGGAATCTCCCAATCAGGATAAATCACTCTAAATACCACTGGGATGATAAATAGGGATAAATGAGTGCTAAAAGCCACTGGAAGGGAGCCACGAGCCATAAAAGGCCAGAAACCACTTTCATAAAGCATCTCATTCATTTTGAAGTGTTAGGTTAGGGTTCAAATTTCATGCCAGCCACCATATCCAATGTGTAATAAGTTGATAAGGTAGGCAATGCCGAACTAAACTAGATAGCGATCGGAGACCGCAGACTTATCGATTGTTCAAAACAGAAACTGCGGTTTTGATTCTTTCGTTCTGACTCAATTGCTACACCGCGTGTCCCATCACTAATCAATTAGCAACTCGCTAATTATACGACATAATTCATCCAAAATCAATAAGCTTCTGGTCCGAGCTATGATGAATGCAGATGCAAAATTTGGAGCAGATTCAACCTCACTTTTGTGAGATATCGCGTGCATCTAACAGACAGACAGACAAATACCTATCAACATACTTACCGATCTTAAGATCGATAAGTAATAAGTGAGTCACGAGATTTTATAAAATTTTAAATTTTCCAAATGTGGGTGGCTTGAATATGGTCCATGGAATAGCAGCTTCTTTCAATTCAATAGAAAGCGTTCTTAGAGTGTTGGGATCTTAGTTGAAAGTTTCACTCACTCTTGAGTGCGTACAAACAGCGGCAAATGCATAATCAAAGAATTCTTCATTTGTATGACAATCATGCATCCTAATTTTAGTTTGTGCTTATACAGAGCAATTTTAAGAGTAAAGACGTAGCAATGTGTGATAATAAAGGGTGTCCATGAAGACTTGATTTTTTTAAAATGCAGAGGGAATTTATTGATACCATATATTGTTTTGGCCCATACAGATGTATTAATTAATGAACTTACAAGTTGGATAATTACTGATTAAAAAACAACAAACCTGGCTAAGATATATTGAGAACTGACTTGATAACAAATTTGAAATTGTGAGGGGACTTCATAGACACCCGAACAACTTGAAAGATCTCCTCATATCTTATCTATTTGACAATCATGTGTCCAATTTTAGTCCGTTTTTAAAATAAAAGCAAAGTCATTATTAGCGGCTTTAAGTTGGACTGGTAATTAATTCTTGATTTTGTAATTAATACTGGATTATTGAATTCTTAATTTGTGGTCGTGAGATCGACATTTGACATAGTTTTCGTGCTGAACCTACTAATTATACGGCATGAACTTTAGTTTTTAATTGAATACTTATCCGATTGCTACCATTTGAGCAGCTGGACTTGGTATTTGGTGAAGGCCAAATTGGTAGGATTCAGTTCTATCTGAAATAGTTATTTGAGTCACGATTCGGGGTTAGTGGTGTTGGGACTCCTGTAGTGTGTATACCAGGTTGGGGTTAGGGCATAATTAACAATTACGAGACTGTCTGTGTTAGCCAAGTGAATATACCCCCTGCCCATAGGTTTCAGTCCCTTTACACAACTTGATGTAAAATAGGCAAACAGAATTAGTCACATCCGTATTGGTACACATACTTGGAGTACTATTGTGTTTGTTATCATAAATTTAGATTTTCGAACAATTTTTTTATTGTAAAATTAACTTGAAGCATGGCTACGTGTACTCACTTAGAAAGAGCGAGATCACTCAGTTTCTTTCGAATTAAATCGAATTTTCGGGTCAATTTGGAATTTGTTATATTTGGCATTAAAAACTTTAATCTGCTTTATTACGCGATTATGATAGTTTTTGTCATATGGAGATCTAAAATAAAATAACTATTATTGTTATGTTTTACTTTTATTAATAACATTAATTAGTTAATTAGAACTAAGGAGTGTCTCAAAATCCTTCAAATTCTTTCTCACTATTAATTTTGCATAATGTCATTTCGTTTGAGTGCGATTAGCCCCTTGATTTGGCAATTTTTTCGAGTTTAAAACTCGGCTGAGGATATAAGTAATTGAAATGTATTTGGGATAGTAGGTCATTCGGTTCTTGGTTATTCGTATGCACCGCTAGTTTAATAGTATCTATAATCAAACTTTTCTCGTGAGCGGGATTATAGACTTATAAAGATTAACTGTGATACTATCAAAGAGGTATGTTATTGTGTTTTTCAAGTTAAAATAGACTTAATTAACGGTGTTAAATAATCCTATTACTTTTGTGGGATTATTTCTATAAACTGGTGGATTTCATAGAAAAAGTGTCAGTGCATTGTAAGTTCTTAGGGAATAGTTTAGGAATCATTAATTTGCGGCAGCTCAATGAATATTGGAGTTACTTATGACAGATTATTGCCATAATCTGGTGGATGTTATAGAAAAAAGGGTACTCCCGAATTATTTGTACCAGGTTAGGGTTAGACCAGAGTTTTATTCTTATTTTAGTTCTATTTTTACTGGCAAATTGCACAGTAAAGCAGTAATTTAGATTCTTTATTAAATTGGCACTTTCAAATAGCTCGGGACCATAGTATAGTCATTTTAATAATGATTTTGTCTTCGCTTTACCATAGTGAAAAAGGGAACCTATGTCGTCCTTCTTGGATTTTGAAATATGTCAGAAAATTTATCGGAAATAAGTTCGGATTTACTAGTAATGCACATTTATGGAACACTACATGGAATAGCTAAAATGAGAAAATTGCGTCATTTTTGGCCTGGGGTGACGAAATCAGAGGAATTTACTATACCCAATACGTTCGGGAATAATATTTTTAAATATGGAATTTTGAATTTATAATTCTGAATTGCGTTATGCTCAGCAGAGAAGTGTGCCCAAATCTTACAATCTCATAGAACAGCTGTCAAAAGCTTAAAATTTCAAAATTAAATTTTTTTTTTGTCAAGTGAAATTTTTTTGAAAATTTGATTCAAAAATTAATGGCGATACGGAATTGTAAATTGCCTAATTCTTAGAAATTGGCTATTTGCTGTTTTTTGGTGACCTTTCTGTGAGCGAGCAAAGTGTAAAAAGGGAACCCACGTCATGCTCCTTTTAAGTTGTATAATACATCATGAAATTTCTTGGAATAACACGTTTATGATTACAAAAATTTGAAAAAATGAGTCGTCTGTGGGCTGAGGCAACCGTATATCTTTGCATATAAACAGAGTTTAAAATTCCAAATAACAAGTTTCCAAATTAAGGGATCGGCTGAGATGCGAATTTATTTTTAAATTCACTGTTTTAGGGCTGTTTTTAGAGGGTCAGCCTATATGCGGGGATATACGGTAAATCCAAATGATTTTCTAAGCTAAAAATTCTCTGGAATAATATTTTTCATTGTGAAATATCAAATATTCATTCAAATTAAGTTAAAATAAAACATAAATTTGCCTAAATTTTTGTTTTTAAATAGAAATAATATCATTTTATGTGAAATAAATTATTTTTCATTATTCGATTTAATTTAGAATTTTAAAATGGTCAATTTATAAATTTACCGTAATTATATATTGTTTTGTTGCACCTTGCTTCAAGCAAAGTGTAAAAAGGGGAAACTGCGTCACGCTTCTTTAAGTTTTATAATACATTATAAATTTCTTGGAATTATGCGCACCTTAACAAGAAATAAGGGCATGCATCATACTATTCAGAGGTGCTATAACCCACAAATTGTTAGTAGTTAGTCATCTGTTAGTCATTAGTAAATAATATTTCAGACTGAATTAAATATCGTCTTTTTTGTGAGACTTGCTTTTTTGTTTTGTTGTTTGAGCTAAATTTATGTGAAATTTTAGCATGTTCAATTCCGAATGTAGCAATATCTCGCAGAGATACTTGATCCTGAACCAGTGGTTTCCAACCTATTATGGCATGTGGCCCTCTTTTGAAAGCATTTACCCTTCATGGCTCCCCTATTTAGCATAGTGGCTATTATAGGGGTATTTTGATTGGTAGATTCCAAATCCCATTATGTTCAAACAATACATGCTCAATGAAGTGAAAACGCCCTGTGAAATAACCTTATCAAGCAATGAAACTAGGAAGCATGGGGAGTCCTTTTGTAAAGGCAACTGTAAAATCAGTTCTGCACCTAGCATCTTGCCCCCCCCTCCCCCTCAAATCAATCTGTGGCCTCACCTAGACTCATGGGCCCCTTCTTGGATGCCCCTGCCCCAAAGAACCCTATATTATATTATATGTTGAGGAAAATTTTTTTCTCGTTACTTATCGAATTTAATCGGTAAGTATGTTGGTAGGTATTTGTCTGTTTGTCTGTTAGATGCACGCGATATCTCACGGAAGCGAGATTGAATCTGCTCCAGATTTTGCTTGTGCATTCATCATATGTCGGACCAGAAGCCTATTAATTTTGGATGAATTATGTCGTATAATTAGCGAGTTATTAATTAATTAGTGATGGGACACGTGGTGTCACTATAGAGTCATGAATTGAAACCGCAATTTCGATCGATAAATCTTGGGTCTCCGACTGATATTCTCGTTTTTTATTTATTGCTTTGGTGTGCTTGGAATTAGTTTTTTGTGTTTTTTGAATCAAAATTTTTGCCAGGAACTGTATTTTAATATATATTGCCATATTCAACATCAGTGTATTTACTTTCAACTGAATCTATATACTGGTATATTGAATTAACGAGAATGCAAACCTTAGATTTATATTCTAATATCCCAACATAACATGCTCGCCACGAGACCACCCTACCCATCAATTTGTTGTTCGTCACACTATTTACCCATTTAATCAAAAATTTCCTTATTTTATATACCGGTATTGTTGCAAGCATCAAATCCATGCTTCCGAAAACAAATAACTGGCTAACTATTCCCATGCCTGATATGAACCGGTCACTGGAAGTCGTCTTAATGGCTTTCTACTTCCCCGAGAAAAATATGTAATGTATTGTGTAGTTGTGCCAGCCTTCTGACCACGATACTGTCCTACCCATCAATTTGCCCTGCGTCTTCAAATCAATTAAATGTCATTTGGTCAGAATTTTCTTTGAATTCTATATATTGTTGCAGTCGTTGATATGGCTTAGAATGTGTAGTTGAATTTTTTGTTGCTTAACTAGCAGTTTGAATAAACAATACTTGTCACTAGATTCTTCAGGGTTTGAACCCTGAATCTCTATTCTGTGATACTGGTCCACTAGGGACCCTTATACTCTTTGAGTCAGTGTGGTTTATAATTGGAATTTTAACTTCTGTTTCATGCCATTTTGTGGTCAAAAAAGTCTAATGGAGTGTTTTTATTGCTTAAACGGTGTCTTTAAACTTTAGATGCCTTAACTAGTAAAATATTTATTTTCTGAGCAGTCTAGCACTGCTCAATTTCTTTAATTTAAAATGTCTGGAAGTGCGGAAGCCGCAGTTCTTTTGAACAATGATTTTCGTTGGAAAGAAGTTTGCGAATCTCACGCTTCAATGAGCGCGTGCAAACTCGCAACAGCGCTAACGAGTTTGCTGTTGGAGTACAAAGCTTGTGCGAATATTCAGGCGATTTTAACACAAATTAAAGATCATTATGACGAACATTTTCATGCGTGTTTTGATGGCCAGTTGAAACATATTGGAGACGAAAATAATGAACAATATCACCATGGTTACGATGGACTCACGACTGGATTTAATTCGAATGAAGATTCGTTAGGAAAGCATAGAGGGAGAAGCAAGTCTGAAGGTAATATTTTCATGTATTCACTTGTTTCTTGGACGAAACAAGGCTCCATGTAATCAGTCACTGACATGTAGCAATATAGTAGTTTTAGTAGTGAAGTCTCTTTCTGTTTGGGCATTTCATACATTTGTACTTTCTCCTACACAACATTTACATATTTCTATACTGAACAAGAAGGCTTTGTGCAGCAGCCACAGATATCTAAGGAGCAAATATTTTTCAAAGGACTGTGGTCGTTTTAGTTCTTCTGCATTGCCTATCCAGTTAATTACACACTGGGTTAGGTGGTGTGCATGAGATTTGGACCTCAAGATTTTCACTTGCGGTGCCAATTTATAAATCGACCGCTCTAATCATTGTGTCTGTTACATTACAATTTTCTCGATTCTTTATTTTGTTCTGTAGAATTTAACTAATTTTTTGTCTATTCCAAAAAAATAAATGATTGAAAAGACATTTTCAAATGATTATATTTCAAATTAGTCCTAAATCAAAAATTCACTGAATCATATAATCAATTTAGAATGTATTTAAATATTCAATTCGTTTTGGATGTCCTTCTCCATTAATGGATATTACCAATATGAATTTGTGTTTTTAGGCAACTGGATGACTGGCTTATCAGTTAACAAAAAGAGGATTTCGAAAGCCAGCGAAAATAATTCGTCAATATTTGAAAATGAAATCAGCATGCCAGAACGACGGCGTAGCATGGACAGTATATCAAACCCCAGTACGACAGATTCTAAAAAATCTGCAAAATCGAAGTTACGACGCGGAATATCGCTTCGTACGAGCCTAAAATTCCGTAAATCAAAAGGAGTAACTCTTGATAAACCTTCAACACCGGAACCAGACCCGATTTCGAACAGTGACGCTTCTCTGAACGAAAAACCTAATTTTGTTACTTCAGTTCTGAGGAAGTTTCGACCTAGTTATAAAAGAAGATCATCAAAGGTAATTGTGATTTAAATGCTTATATTTCAATGGAATATTTGGCCTAGCCCAGTGGCCCTTCTCCCTTTCTTTATTTTAGAACTCTTTATTCAGCGCTCCAGAACTATGCTTACCAATATGGAGGTAACTAATTTTGTTCGCCTACTTTACATCAAGCTGTGTAAAGGGACTGAGTCCATGGACAGGGGGTATATTCACTTGGCTAGCATAGGCAGTCCCAGATTTGTAATAGAATTAAAATAAGGAAAATTGGAATAAGTTTTTGTATAAATCATTCCTAAAGTCAAGAATTTAAAATATGGGATCTTGATTATTTCAAATCGATTCAAATATTCAAACCACATCTTTCAAACTATTACATGAGTCTTATTAGGCTATGTCATTTCTCCTATCCTGTCTCAAACACGCTTTGTGTTATTTTCTATTCTGTATTAGGATCTGTATTAGGCGCGGCGGTGTGGCTCAACGGGCTAAGCGTTAGGAATACGCTCGCCACCCACCACTAATTACTCTGCGTGGGTTCGCAGGTTCGAATCCCATGCAGGGATGGTTATGTGCGAGAGGATTGCTGGACTTCTCGCCATCGTTGGGTGGTTCACGTACCCGCTGGTCGGTTACGGCTTCCTCCACCACCAAGTCCATGCTTCCGAAAACAAACATAATAACTAATCCCATACCCGACTTGGAATGGTAACCGGACGAGAGGCCGTGGTTCGCCATATGGATAATCTTATCGGCTTTCCTCTCTCCCGGGATAAATATGTAAATCCTATCCTATTAAGATCTTTCTAACAGTTAGACTTATATTAGGTTAAATGTTATGTGCTTCATTTGTGAACATTGGATTTATACAAAGACACTCAGGTTGGCGATTTGTAAATATTCTGCTCACCAAACCTCCCAACAAATCTGTGTTACTATCAATTCAATTAATAATTCATTTTTCAGAGTTTTGGATCTTCAGAAAAATGTGATCCTGGAAGTATTACAAAGCATGAAGGCATAATCAGTTATCTAACAGTAACTAACTCAAGTGCCGGCGACACTCTTGATTTCCAAAGAGCGAGACTCGTGCTCAGAGACATCAAAGTTGGATACCAAGTGGAGTTATACACCCCATGCAAGGTGAGTTGGTTTATTTGTTGCAGGGCTGTAGTTCAGAAATTTCCACCGAGTTTTTCCCTGATAATTTGGAGTTTCAGTTTTTACTCAATTACTGATCAAAACATCATTATAATCATGGAGTTTATTTCTGTTCATAGCCTATTGAGTTATTTCAATTCTTTTAGTTAGAATCTCGAGTAGAAACTTTTATCAATATTTCTGGCTGACATATAAACCTTTTAAAGTTATTATATCCGTGAAGTTTTTTTCAAATTTTTTGAAAATATCTTAGCTGAATCTTACATTTGAAGTTGCATAAAAATTTTGAATTTTTTTTTTTAAATTGTTGCAACACTAGTGCAAAAGATTTGCAGATTTTTTTTAATTTGAATTCTCTAATGAAAACGATATTTTTAGCTGAATTCTAGTTCATTCAACATCGCTCACAGTCAAATTTCAGAAGATTTTCTTTAAATTGCCGCAACCCTAGTGCAAAGGATTTGCAGCAAACCCTTATCAAGCACAATGATCTAAAAATAAACTAATTTGAATTTAATCCGAGTTTTGTAAAGTTTATTTATTTTAAGTCGGCATCTACCGGTATGTCAAAAGGGGTTAACTTTATTACTCATGATCGAGCACGGGTCTTAGTAAAAACATACTCATTGTACCTTCGGCCCGTGTTTGGTCTTTAGTAGTTTGAAACGATAGATTATTATCTTGAATCCAAGTATTTCAAATTGTTATTTAATAAACGTAATCGCGTTTACATTTCGTCTGGTGAAACGAGTTGTAATTTTAAAATTAGCGGTCGTTACCTTAGAAATGATAAAAATCGTGTAATACTAAGTGCTTTCTGTATTATATTTTTGAATATGGAACATCGGATATATTATGAAATATTGTATCTCAACAAAAAAAAATGGCAGAACTTTTTTTAGGGTGCAATACCTTAATGTCTAAATGCACTCTGGGGATAAAATTTTTAAATACAGAATTTTGAATTTATTTTTCACACATTCTGAAACATAGAATTTTGTTCTGGCTATTCGGATAATTTTAAAATTATTCTGAGATTTTAGTTACCAAAGGTTTTTGTATTACAATAATTTATAATAAATTATTTGAAAAAACTTAAATTCTCTCAGAATGATACTGACACTGTTTTGAGTGGTCTAGTTCAGTGGTTCCCAACCTTTCTACCCTGGCGGACCGGTAAAATTAAATGTACTCGCGGACCGGCAAATAATTGAAAAGACCGGAACAGAAAAGAATAACATACATTTGCGTAATATAATGCAATGTCGGGCACTCAGTATGCTTTTAGATGAAAAAAGGCACACTTAAAAATATCATATAATGTGCCGGCCAAAAATTGAAATGGGTAAAACATGAATATATTTGCGTAATGAAATGCAGGGCTGGGCCCAAATTATGAATGTAAGAAAGGCACACATACAACATCTCACATGAAAAACATGTAAATGCCACTGCAGTTGATCGACGCATCAAACGAATTGAATTTACATCACAATGACAAAGTCGTCGGTAACTTGGCACCAGGCTCAAAATCCAACTGTGCCTGCTCAAAATACTGGAAAAGATCTCAGCGGCCCGTGCTTTTTTGCGCGTCTTGTGACCACCTGCATGGTCGGAACAAGTAGGCCTACATATCTTACTGGAATATTATACTGTTTTTATCTGTTTTCGGGTTTAAACAAGAAATATGCAGAACGTTTTATATGGATGGTAATGTTAATTAGGAAAAGCATGCTGAACAGAAAAAGTACGCGTGCCGATTCTTAGGTTTCTGAATCTTGCGAGATTTGATGCCGCGCATTCGCGATGAATCGGAGCCGAAAAAGCGAAAAGTGTGATTACTTGGCGCCAAGATGTCGTGAAAGAAGTCGCCAATATGACGGCGGAAGAGAAATTGCGTAATAAACTAACGTAAACTCGTCTTCGGTAAAGCGATTGAGACGGCATAAAAACAACGAAATTTCTCGCGGACCGGCAAAAAAGCTTTGCAGACCGGCACCGGTCCGCGGACCGGCGGTTGGGAACCACTGGTCTAGTTCCCAATCAATGTGTCACGATTAAGGCTAGGAATGGTTAACCGGTTAATCGGTTAACCGATTTTCGATGGTAAGGGTTAAGATTTTTTTTAAAAGTCAACTGACATCTCGGGTACAAATCATCTTTATAATGTACAATTCTTTCAAAAATGATAACGAAGGAGCAAATTTATCTCTTGTGGCGTTTAATTCAAAAGAACATCACTAACTGTATTGATAAGGAACCAATAAATGTGGGAAATATTTGAAGTACCAAAATTGCTGATTATAAAAAATTGACAATAATTAATTATGAATAAGTTTTCGGTTCTAATTTATTGTTCACGATTTTATTTCAAAATCGTATATTCAATGTCAACCAACAAGTGCTTAGCTGATGCTGCCTTTTCTTTATATATCTCGAAGTAGAATTTCCACATAGAACACTGAAAGTTTGTCACATATATGATATTTAATAACGGAATCAGGTTTTACCAAAATACTTCCATATGTCCTAACCACGCTGCATATCTCTTGCAGCAGAGTGATCATGAAACTGTCTCGATTCGTGAATAATTTTGAGCGATACCAGAATAAGATCACGCGAAATTGCTTTGTAACCATTGTGACCTAACAAGCCAAAATTATAAATTACTACGTGACATGTCACGCTGCGGTTAACTGGTTAACGGTAAAGTGTTTTTTCTGAAATTCCTGCGCTAGTCACGATGCAAAACTCGGTTGCCTGAAAATTGTCTTGGTTAAAAAATTTGCAGCACTTATTTTGTTTTTCTAAGTAAAGCCAGAGTTCTATTCTACAGAGTGAAAAACCAAAGATCCTGATCAATGGTTCAGATATAATTGAAATCAGAAAAACCAACGCTCTGGAAATGCCGGATACGGACTATGCGTTTGTTGTAAAGGTCAGTAATGATTATATTTGTTACATGTCATAGTAATGTTTAGGTGACGTTCATCAGGGCTTCCCAAACTAGGGTTCGCGGCCCTGCGGAGGGGTGCACAACGAATTTAGGGGGTCGCAAAGGGTACACAAATTTCACAAATACTGTATCGATCAATTTTTCAGACTTTTGATTCGAAATACAATTATTGAAACTAGTGCAAAAACATAAATTTCGCAGACTCAAGACAATGCAGACTTGTAAGGGGTCGCAGAGAGTTTTAATATATTGGAAGGGGTCATGTGTTGGAAGTTTGGAAAGCCCTGATGTTAACAACTGGATTCACTATTTATTTCTGTTGTCGTATTGACTTTCTCAAGTCTCTCAACAAACCGAATTCACTGGAATGCACCACCATAAAAAACAGCAGGGTCTGGCATTTTAATGGATGTTAATACATTTACCTAGAGATGAGTAGTCCTCTTTACAGGGGCGAACCCAGGAATTTTCGAAGGTGGGGGAGATTGTAACACTTAGAGCAAAGGTCGGCAACCTACGGCCCGCAGAGCACTATAATCCGGCCCGCGGCGCTTCACTAAATTATAGTAACAAAACATCCGTTTTGATGAATATATTCTTCAGACTAAATTATATTATAACCTAACAATTATATATTTCACAATTACTCGTTTAATGAGCATATAATTTAATAATTGAGCAAATAGCAACAAAACGCAGAAAAGTTGATGCTAAGTGCAAAGGGTTCAATGGCGCTGAAAATATTAAAATGGAACTTTATGAGATGCAATGAGCAAATAAATCTATATTCTATTCGAGAGATGTATCACTGCTTGATTTTTATTATAAAGAGTATCATCTGTTCGGTTTTTCAACTTTCTAAAAATATGTAGGGCCCGCCAATGACTTCCAAGCTTAATTTTGGCCCGCGAGCGACAAAAGGTTGCCGACCCCTGACCTAGAGGGTACGACGACCGTTAAAACGGGCTTTTTTTAAGCTATGTATGATACTGAAAATGCATTTTTTACATTTCAAAATGGGGTTTCCAACCCCTAATTCCCCCCTGGATACACCCCTTCCTGTTTACTCCTGACAATCAGGTGCTTTGCTCAAAGATGAGTTCCTCTCACTTCTGAGTGAAAAAGCATGACCTTGCTTTTGACAATTTCTCTTTAAAAAGAGAAGAATAATTTGCTATTTCGAAACGATATTGAAATAAAATTTTAACTATGTAATATTGGAATAATGATTTGGTTACTGCTGAACCATTATTTATCTTTCTATGCATATACTGCAACTGCAAGGATGCTGTAGCAAGGGTAAAGATAACTATCCTAAGTGATTCAAGAGTCTTGCTGCACACTAACACAATTATATTTCTGTAATGTTTCGTCTGACTAAGGTTAAACTTCCCCAGTGTGCAGCAGGACTCTTGGTGTAATAGCCTATTTGCGGCCTTATTCAACAAAGAATGCATAGAAGTTTGAGTTTGGAAACACAGAAAATGTATTTTTGTAAATTTTTTAAACATTTTTTGCAAATTTTGAACGCAACATTTAAGTCTTTTTGAATGCTATCAGACTACTCCATTGTATCGCTTTGCAATAACATTTGAAATACTTCCTGAATCGTTCTAGTTCCCCATGGCTGTGGTTCTAGGAATTGAAGTCCCACCTTGTATTATTTCAATATTATTTCAAAACGTATTTGGAATAGCAGAATTCGTCTTTGGCTATTACAGCACTAGAGCAAGGGGGCAATGCTGGACACACTCCCTTTTATTATTTCTAGTTTCATTGTAATTTGTTGATTGTTGAGCATGAATTGTTCAAACATGATGGGATTCGAGGGTGCTAATCCCTCATGACAAGGGCCACAAGCCATAAAATTTTGGTATTCACTAGAGCCGAAATAAAGATGTATAATTTATTGAATATGACCCAATATAAACTACATAGGATATTTGAAGTTTGAAACATTATTTTGTGGTCATCGAGGGATTACAACATGTATGATTCATTAATCTGCAAAGACCAAAATTTGTATTTTATTAAGTGGTGGTTGAGGAATTTTCATTAAAAGTAAGCCACAGATCTGGTGTTTTTCATTATTGAATCATTCGTCAAGTGGTTTCTGTAATCTCAATGATTTTGCAACTTTATTATTAAAATGTCAGTCAAATTGTGGTTACGTAATATTTGTTCAGTATAACGCAATATTACTTGTGTTGCGAGATGACGTTAATTTTGTAGAAAATTTGGGTCGCTCAAAAAAAGATTGGGAACTGCTGGTTTAGACCATAGGTTCTTAAAGTGCCCCATAATTGTTAGTTAAATTGTGGTTGTGTAATATTTGTTTGATATTGCGCAATATCACTTCTATACCAAAGATTCGGCTTTTGTTAACTTATGGTACATTATCTTTCTGTGTTACTAATTATGGCTCACTGAATAAAGGATTCTAATTTTTTATACAACACCTTTTGCATCAAGCAGCCACTGTTATTAGGATTATGTAGGTGTTGTCTACCCAATTTTATTTACACTTTGAGTGAGGTGGAGGCTGGATGGCATGGGTTTTGCACCCGGGATGTGTATTCTGGGATACTAACACAGTTGAGTCTAAGGCAGGCCTGCACAACTCAAATTACCAAGAGGGCCGCACCAGGGTTTCCCAAACTGGGGGGGCGGGGTCGAGTGACGGATTTTAGTGGTTGCGAAGGGCACACCAATTTCACACAAAGTTCGATATTTATTGAAACTAGTGCAAAATATAAATCTCACGATTTCGAATATGATCGAAGTAGCGGCGCGCTTGCATAACGATGCCGGCTTTGATTTTGACCCAAAAAGTAGCTTGTTTCCGAATCACCCGCGGGTCGCACAGAAGTATCTAGCGGGCCGCACGCGGGTCGTATGTTGTGCAGGCCTGGTCTAAGGCTTTTAACCGCTAGGCCACCAACCCACTCTCCCACCCATAACATTAAAGCCACCAATAATAACAGGACTCTGATAACTAAAACAGATAACAAATTTTCACATACACATGAATGTATTTCTGTAACTTATCGTCTAAGCAAAATCAGATTTGCGATAGTGTGCAGCAGAACTATTGAATTGCATAATACGGTATTTTTATTCCTGCTACAGCATCTTTGCATTATATGCATACGGATCCACTAGCGTGAAGGTAACCGCAGCGTAACCTCTACTATAGTTATAAATTTAAGTTAGACATTAAAACCTTAGTTGCCACTCTCGATACCCTCTTCAGTTCCCTGTGGCTTCTCTTTGCGAGTAAAATTATGTTTGCTGATTCTAATCCTATGTCCAACTCAGATTGGATAGCAAATACCAAGGCAAATAAAGCCCTTTTTATAGGCTTTTTCGTATTGACAGGCGGAAAAAACATGATTACTGAGCACCAAATAACCAAATTCAAATTATTTATTTTATTTGCAGTCCAACACAGAAGAATATGTCATCAAGACGTCGAGGAAGAATGAACTTTCGCAATGGCTGACTGAGATTCAAGACTTGAGTTCCAAATATGGAAAGTATGTTCCTTTCTCTACTTTTTTATGAGAGGACCTCTCACACAAAGGCACCACAAAAGCAGTATAAGCAAGTCAATCTGGAGAGAAGTGGGGCAAAGCCCTGGCTTAGGGAGGGGAGTTAGAGGCAGAAACCCCGATTTTGAAATAAATCAGACATAGTAGTTTTTCTCAGCCTGAAACGCCCTTTAGGCCCGCGAGGCTACTGAAAACTCACCTTATACGCCCAGACTCGCTAGCTGTTATGGTCTAACTTAGCAATTAAAAATTTAGGAACCTCACCTACCCTTTGAAAAATCCAGTCATGGCTGTGAATCTGGAGAATCTACAATTAGCTATCGACTGGGAAACGAGAATATCGGTCAGAGACCGAAGACTTATTGATCGAAAGTTAGGGGATCCCCCAAAACAGCGCTCTTACTCCTTGACACCTTGTGTTCCATCATTAATTAATTAATAACTCGCTAATTATACGACATAATTCATCCAAAATCAATAGGCTTCTGGACCGAGATAAGATGAATGCACATGCAAAATCTGGAGCAGATTCAATCTCGCTTTCGTGAGATATCGCGTGCATCTAACAGACAAACAGACAAATACCTATCAACATACTCACCGATTAAAATCGATAAGTAATAAAGTTAGCAAATTAAAGTTGTTTTCGGACTCGAGAAAGAAATGTCTCTCACATATTTTTTTGAATGTCTTGAAAATAAATAATAATAAATATTGTTCTAAAGAAGGATTAGTATACACTCAAGTTTTGCAGTCTAAATTTGCAAACTAAATTTGGTTAAGTTTTGCCGGAAGCCGGAATATCGACTTTTGAATCCCCCCCCCCCCCCTCCTGGGCTCCGACTACTCCCCTCATTGATTACAATGATCAGCAAAATAAATTAGTTTTTTGAGACTCTCTTATAAAAGAAATGTTTTTCACATATTTTCTTGTCTTGAAAATGGGTAATAATTAAGATGGAATTAAAAAAGCCTTGTACACACACACCAAGTTTTGCAATCAAAATTTGGTTCCTAGTGTCTAGCTAGATTTGCGTCAAAACTTCTCAATCCAGAGCAATTGTCAAGCATAAGAGTGAGGCATTTTTGGTGCAGTTTATTGAGTGATTCCACAGGACAGCTTTGTTTCAATGCTCTCAAATCCCTTGTTTGCATATTCAAAATCATTTCCATTTTAAGTTTTATCTCAGTTGTCCAAACAACTGGTAATAATGAATACCTGCCCACCAACTCATTTCATTTCTATTACTTTGCATAGTTTTTGCAATACAAATTCAAAAAGTGTCAGATTCCCTTAGTTGGATAAACCATATACCATGTACCAGATTAAATTTCCCCCAAATCTAAAAGGAAATAAGAAAGCCATATTGTACATCTTAAATTAAACAAACACCTGTTTTGTGTTTTCTTGGTTTGGCAAATAAAATAAACTCTCTCTTTTTCAAGGCATGAATGCCATAAACACCTTTATGTTCCAATGAATGTGAAAGAAGCCGCAAGTAATGATGGATCAGTGGAAAGCCAGGGGGATGGAGATGACTCAAGAAAGGTTTGGAATTAGTGATTACTTACAAGATGGTTTGGGTCTCGTACCGCAGCAACTTCTAGTGGGTGTGGCATAACAATTTTTGCATATGTCAGTCATTCCTAACCCCTACCTACTCATTCAAAATTATGTCACTATGACATCATAGTTGCGGGTTACAACCTGCTGAAATATACAGATGGTCGTCCAAAACATGCAGACAATCACTCAAAGTCAAGCAAGTTATTTCTCGTTGTAGCGATCCCGATATGAGAGAGTTCGCTGGCGTTTGTTATCGTCGACGAAGATGCTTTTCAGGCGATCGTATCTATACTTGGGCAAGCGGTGACGTTATAGGGAGGTAATTTTTGAATAACATGTACAGGTGTGGGGTTAGGAAAATTATATGATAAAAGGCTCATGGCAAGCCCATTGCAGGTACTTCGACGTTTCAACACCTTTACTATGTGCAAGGCATTGTACAAGCATTGACTGATTTGTAAAGGGCTTCTGTTTAAAACAGCGATTAGAGTGAGATTCAAACCTGCAAACGCATGCAGGGTAATCAGAGGATAGGGTAATGCGGTGACGAGTGTATTCCTTACACTTAGCACGATGTACCACATCGAGGAGACGTTTTGCTATCCCTGTGCCTGTCTATCCCATTTTATGATATCACGAGTTTAATCAACATTTTTGCTTTTCCAGAACTCTGGCAACAATCTGACCCCACCATCAACAGATTCAGCATTACTTACAGGAGGAGAGGAACACGGTGACGGAATAGATTTTGTTACAACTGTCTTGTGTAAGTTTTATATATCGTCATAGGATAGGATTTAACCCAGGAGAGAGAAAAGTCTATAGAATGGATTAATCATAGGCAAATCACGGCCTTTTGTCCGGTTATCAGTCCATGTCGGGCAGGGGATTAGTTAGCCAGTTATTTGTTTCAGTTGCATGGACTTCATGGTGGAGGACTCTGTAACCGGCCAGTGGTTAGTGGACCATTCTACATCGTCGAGGAGTCCAGCGATCCTTTGGCGTATAATTATCTCTCGCGTGATTCGCACTTACGAACCCACGCAGGGTTGTCAAAAGTGCAGTGTCGAGCATATTTATAATGCTTAGCACAATGCACCATACCGAGTAGCCCATAACTTTCTTAGAAATGAGTCTAATTTACTCCTGAGTAAGTGAATGACTTTGCTTTGAGCTAATTCCATGAAAACCAAAACTAAAGAACAAACTATTTACTCCTAGTGGGCAACTGGGAAACAACAATGGCGGAATTGGGAATCCGTAATCAGTCAACCGAAGAAGAAGAGGGCGGAGCTTTAGACGAGGAGGCGGAGCCAGGAGCAACAGCTGCCCCAGTGCCAGGCAAGTAGCTGTAGTTTTGCTCTGAAAGAGGCACATTACAAGTACCAGTACTCCTGTAGTATGTGAACCTAGATGACGGACAGCGGAACGTAGTATGTGTACCAGGTTAGGGTTAGGCCATAATTTCAGGAACAAATAATACAGGGAGTCACTAGGCTAGTCCCCGAACTCGTAATAGAACTAAAATAAGGAAAATTGGAATAAAATTATAGACTAACCCTAACCTGGTACACATACTACGTTTCAGTCTACACCATCTTGGTTTACATACTACAGGAGTACCCAAGTATATACTTGATGTTACACCATTTAATTTACAGTGTTACATAAGGAAAAATGAAAAACAATGAGCTCCATGCAAAAACTATATTTAATCACAATCTCAACAAAATCCTTCAACAAAAACTTCAAAATTTGGTTTTAGTTTGGTTGTGTCAACCTAAAATCAGGCGGGCCTGATTGAATGACCATGTGGGCCGGATTTGGCCCGCAGGTTGTAGTTTGCCCATAACAGCATTTGGCCACAAGAATCCACTTTTTGCGTAACACACATTTTCTACATATCCCAACCCCAGCATTAGGCACTAGTGCCAAACATCTTCTGTTTTCTTACTAATGGGGATTTGTTCCCTAAAATTTAGCAATGCATTAAACAGCCACGACATTTGACCTTGCTGACATATAATGTTCGTCCTTTAATAGCATGGTGTTGTGATTTGAAAGTCATTCTTCGGTTTGTGCTGCTTTAAGACTCTTAGTTGAGGTTTGAGGTAATAAAAGCCTAGAGTTTAAAGTTGTTAATGTCTTCGTTAGGTGAACCATTCCTTATATTTTTTCAATACAGAAGGCCCGCCAGACCTTGATCAGTTTCCATGGTTTCATGGGAAGTTAACTAGACTCAATGCAGCCGATCTTGTTCTCCAAGGAGGCTGTCGACATCACGGAGTCTTCCTTGTGCGACAATCAGAAACAAGAACTGGTGGATACGTTCTTTCATTCAACTTTCAGGGAAAAGCAAAGGTATGTAAAGGAGAGCTTAGATTTAAATTTAACTTTAGTTAGACTAGTTTTCTTGTCCGAAGACTGAGTAATTTAAAGCAGGGGTCGGCAATCTTTTGTCGTTCACGGGCCAAATTTAAAGGTTGCAAGACATTGGTGGGCCGTACATATTTCTAGAAAGTTGAAAACTGAACGGATGATGCTTTTTATAATAAAAATGAAGCAGTGATACATCTCTCGAATAGAATATAGATTTATTTCCTCATTCGAACCATTTGCATTTAGCATCAACTTTACTGCGTTTTGTTGTCATTTGTCTAATTATAATTAAATTATTGGCTCAATAAACGAGTAATTGCGAATTTATACTTGTTAGATTATAATATAATCTAGTCTACACTTATCTTACAATAAATTCTGTTATGTATAGAATATAATCGTCAAAACCCCTGTTTTGTTACTATAATTCAGTGAGACGTCGCAGGCCGGATTATAGTACTCCGGGCCGTAGGTTGCCGACCACTGATCTAAAGTGTACGTATAATAAAAAAATATAACGGATGAAAGCAGAGGAATAAATGCATTACGGTCAAAAAAACGCAATTTACTTGAAATTATGAGTTGCCTATTTTGACTCACTCTCCTTCCTCTAAATGTCTTCATGCTAGTATGAGTATAATGCACGGATGCTGTAGCAGGAATAAACAACACTTATAAGACCCAACTCTCTAACAACTCTACCAGGGGTGTGCAATATTTTTGTCGGTGGGTCATATATCATCAACTTCAGGCATCTAGTCTGGCCACCCATGAGAAAACAGTTAATCCATGCCGAATAGGCAAGAGAAGCAAATGTGGCTACACTTACTTAGCCTTACATTAATAAAGGCTGAACGACGAAAGATTCAAAGCAGCGGCAAAAGATATTGTGTAGTTTTATCGATGTGAATGACTTTTTCAGCATAAACTGTCGGATTCAAATATTATGCTGAATGGGGGAAAATCTGAGTGTTGACAAGGGCTCCACTGGCACACTTGGTGGGACACGTTGTGCCCCTGGACCTCCTATTACACACCCCCAAGCTAGACTAATTAAATACAACTTTCGTTTGTTTTACAGCACTTACGATTATCCATTGGAGACGAAGGCCAGTGCCGAGTCCAGCATCTTAGATTCAACACAATATTCGATATGTTGGAACACTTCCGCACTCATCCTATCCCTCTCGAATCCGGAGGATCAACGGACGTTTGTTTAACGGATTTCATCATCAACGAAAAATGTGGTGAGTAGGGCTATCAAGTTGATTCAAACGAAATTTGAAATTGATAGTGATTTAATCATGAATTTCCAAAGGGAGGGAGGGGGGGAGTCTGAAATCTCTAATTGGCGAGTTAGACCATATTAGCCGGAAGACGTGTGTTTTCAAGAATCTTTAGGGTCTAATAAGCGTTTCATGCGGTGACAATTTGCTATGTATTATACAGAATTATGCTTTTTTACATTTCAAAAAGGGGTTCCGACCCGCCTTTTGGGTCCACCACCCCTTTGGGTACACCCCGATTGCGAAGGATCGTGTTTTTACTAACATGTACTGTACTTCCATAATTCCGTATAGTTTCCGAAGTTCTTTCCTGTGCCTGTCCATTACTTAGCTCAAAAGTGAGTAATAATAGTAGAGCACAATAAATGTAGTTGCTCTTGGCAATCTAGTGATGCGAGTAGCTTTAGTCATAAATAAGCTTTCTTTTTTTCTAGTCTCGCACACCTGCACTAAATATGAAAATCCTGTCCTAACAGTTACCGGTATGATACAGCCTATTTCTTGTGTGACCCTAGTTGGTTATGATGATAAATTTTCAAATTAAACTATTTCGTGTCACCAAGAAGGTTATAAACGAGAATATCGGTCAGAGACCGAAGACTTATCGATCGAAAGTTAGGGGATCCCCCAAAACAGCGCTCTTACCTTGTGTCCCATCACTAATTAATTAATAACTCGCTAATTATACGACATAATTCATCCAAAATTAATAGGCTTCTGGTACGACATATGATGAATGCACATGAAAAATCTGGAGCAGATTCAATCTCGCTTTCGTGAGATATCGCGTGCATCTAACAGACAGACAGACAGACAAATACCTATCAACTTACTTACCGATTAAAATCGATAAGTAATCACTGCCACTAGGCGAGGAGTGGGCAAATTACGGCCCACGGACGGGCTAGTTCTTTGTAAATAAACTGTTTTTTATCCATAGTTTCATATTGAGTTTCAAGCCTCTGGCCCAGTAATCAAGTCTATTACTTGAAAGTAATTGTCCACTCCTGCTCTAGGCTGCATGAAACTTCTTGCACTAACATATATAAATCCTCTAACAACATTTCTATTTCAGAGAAAAACAAGAAAGTCGCAGTATCAAGTCAACCACCTTCACTTCACGCATCAACAACAAAAATTGAAATTGAAAATTTGATCGTAGATTTGGAAACGATCCCACCGGAAAATAAAGACGTTACATTTTTACAAGTCAACAATAGGAGCACTTCTTTACACAGTGTGGAAACAGAAATACCAGAGAATGTAAACTCCATTTTGCGTCCGTTTTCTGAGACACCAGGCTCTATTTTACGTCCTTTTTCAGAGCCGGGTATAAGTAATACTTTAACAGACGGGCCTAATCATGTAAACCATCAAGTTTCAGAACTGGAAAATGGGGGTGCTGGACTTCCCCCTACAAATCCCCCCACTCAGCACGTGAGGGCGATAGAGAACCATTACGCTTTTAGTTAAATTTTGTCACAAAAATTTATTTAAAAAAATTTCATAAAAATCAAAATAAAACTATATATTGCCACAAAACCAAATAACATTTAAAAACATTGCACAGAATAAATAAATAGTTAAGAATAATTATATATTAATTTTAATCGCTTCTTGCAGTCGTTCCCTTCAACTTTTTTTTCATGACTGACGTCTTTACAAAGCCCCGCGATTCATTAAAATAAAAATTATCTGTTGGAACTTATACATAATGTCATATTTGAGTTACCGCCTAGTTGCCACATTTCATCGCTACCGTTGTCGAATTTTAATAATGCCGTTATTTTTCTTTGCACATTTACAAAATCGGCCAAGTTGGTATTTTTATAAGTAATAGCTTATAGTAGATAACGAATGGCTCGCAGAGCTTCTGGGCTTCATTCGCAACGCCTGAGGGCTTCGCAAGGAGCACGTGGAGAATGTTCTCGCTATATTTTTAATACTTTTGTCACTAAAAATTGCACTATAGATTGATCGAATTTGGTTTCTCTCTATTTTTTTTTGTTGTTGTCCTAACATGAAAACTTTTGCACTAACCTAAACACAAATTGCATTTACTGGTAGTAATTTTTGGTTTCAAGGCTGTACTATATCAAGTGCTAGCCTGTAACTTTACCCAGAGGTGAGTCTTTGGCACTTCTGTGTGAGCGATTGTATTGCATCACAATAGTTCTACAATTCTCTTTAGAGTAAACTTGGTAAAAATCCCTGAATCTCTAGTTAAGAGCTATCGGTCATGCTTTTTACAGGGTGGCCATAATGTCGTGCACCGAGGTAAATCTCACAATCTATTAGAACGGGCAACCTGCGTCCCACGAGCCAAATGCCAATTTTGAATGATGTGCGGCCCACGATACAAAAATTTTTATTTCAGTTTGATCTGGTACGTCTTAAGTACAAACCCTATACCAGACTCACGATTTATTATTTATGCCTATGGCATTACAATGCTTTTTTTTGCCTGCGACTACTAGAACAGGGGTTCTCAACCTGGGGTTCGCGAACCACCAGGGGTTCACGAGAAGATTCCCAGGGGTACTTGGATGACAGGATGACTTTTTGTGTTTTTTTTACAATATTCTTCAACAAAGGAAAACCAAGTAACTACCAGATGAAAATGCATGCCAATTGAAATTCAGCGTAGATTTTCCCTGATTGTGACGCAACATGCCCGGCTTATCAGCCAAACTTTGAAATCTCAAAAGACAATGTGGGCAAAAGGGCAAACACATTAAAATGAAGATTTAATTTAGTTACAGCAGTTGGTCAATAAATTGTCATTGCAGCAAATTGTCAATCAATATATCACAACTTTGTTTGGTGTCTGATTACTGGGGGTTCGCGTTGATTGTTTCGTGACCCGGGGGATACTTAACAGAAAAAAGGTTGAGAACCCCTGTACTAGGAAGTCCATGTTAAATGAAGATGCGGCCCTCGGTTTCACCCAGTTATTTGTATCTGGCCCTTCTGTATCAAAGATTGCACACCCCTGTTCTAGCTGGTGACTCGCCACATTATTGCTCACTCCCTGTATTGGGATGTTGATGGCAATACTAATTTCAGAATATTATCATGATGAATTAGAGAAGATTGTGTATTAAGATCAAACGATTCCAACGTTTTTGTATCTTTGGAATTTTGAGATTCACCTTTGTGCGTGACTTTATGGCTACACTGTATATTCTTGACACAAATATACCAGGTGGCAATCAGGCGCTCCAGTATTATGTGTACCAATATGGAGGTAACTAATTTTGTTCGCCTACTTTACATCAAGTTGTGTAAAGGGACTGAAACCTATAGTCAGTGGGTGTGTTCACTTGGCTAACACACACAGTCCCCGAACTCGTAATAGAACTAAAGTAAGGAGAATCTGGATAAAATTATGGCCTAACCTGGTACACGCACTGCGGGAGTACCGGCAATCATGCGTTGTATATGTTCCACGACCCCCAAGTTAATCTTTTTTGACGAAATTGCGATTTTTATCGATTTCTTGTAAAAATTTTCATTGCCAAACTAGAACAATTGATGATTTAAGTGTTCATGACAGACATTTGAGTAGAAAAAACTAAATATATTAGTACATTGTAAAATTGCCAAAACTAGATAATAATGTTAGTTGTCCATAAAGAATAGTTACACAAATATGGCTTGAGTGTCGCATGCTTAAAAATAATTAACCATTTCCTTACCGGTCCTGAGTTTGTAACCTTGCGAGAAGCTGTTGCTCGCCCTAGGCTTTCTCATCAGCTCTTTTCCTCCTGGGATAGATTTTTAAAAAAAGTGTGAGACGTCTACGACTCAAAATGTATTTTGTGTGTGTAATGAATTTAATATCTTTCAGGCGTCTTTTATATGTATTTCATTTGTTTATTTTATTAGGATATAAGGATTCGCGAGGTGCATAATTGTTTATTTTTGTTGTTCAAGTCGCTAGTCAAGTGGAGTCAAGCGCCTCATTAGAGGTCCCAAGGTGAGTCCAAATTCAGGCGTCGAGTCCGAACTCAGGTCTCAAGTCTAGTTCAAATTCACGTCTTGAGTCGCGTCCAAAATCAGTCTCAAATCGAATCCAAAATCAAATGCCGCTTATCTGATCCTATGTATTCTCTCAAAATCGTGAGATTTACGTTTTGCTCTAGTTTTAATAATTGTGTTTTGAATCAAAAGTCCGAAAAAGTAGAATGGATACAGTATTTTATGTGAAATCAATGTATTTTTTGAGACTCCTAAAATTCGTTGTGCACCCCCTACTGGTTGGGCCCTCTAGTTTGGGAAGCCCTGATTGAGATAACTCAAGTAACTTTAAGTCTTTGATGATAAATAACGACTCTTACCCAACTTGAGCCCCCTCAACACTTATACCAAGTTCCAGTCCTATGTTAGTAGATTTTTACTTTAATGTTTTTAAATTGAGTTTCCATTCTTGTGCAATGAACTGCGCTTGCACAGGCACTGATAAGTAAAGAGCTGACTTTTCTGGAACAATCGAGATTGGGTTCGAACCTTCATAGCAAAGTGCTAGCCACAAGGACTAGGCCACACAAAAAATGTTCAATAAGGCTGTTTTAAGAACTGTTTGGGGGAATGCCATGTGCTTTTAATATTCGTGTTCCCAATTAAACGGCTGTTAGTACAAGAAAACCCTTATGTATTTTGTGTGAATTCAGTGATTTTGCAAATTTGTGAGATGCTTCTTGCTGACCATTGGACCTTCCGAGTAATGTACAATTAAGCTGTTTTATAATCTGGGGAATGCCATGTTCTCCTAATTTTCGTGTTCCCAATAAAATGGCTGTTAATACGACAAAACCCCCTATGTATTTTGTGTGAATTCAGTGATTTCGCTAATCTGTGAGACGCTGTTAAAAGTATCTTCTAGTCTAAAAAGTACTGGCTTTTGGCGAATACAGTAGCTCATAAAGTCCTGTATTAAATTAGATAAAAGAACTTTGATGTGTGTTGTGCAACTAATGATGATGGGAATATAAAGGTGTATTGAATAAAGGAAACAAGACTTAATATAAATACAGATTAAAAAACAACAAACCAGGGTAAAATATGTGGTGTCTATAAAGTCTTGAAAAATTCTTAAAATTGCAAAGATAATTAATCGATACCATATATTGTTTTGGCCCCCACAGATGTGTATTAAATGAAATAAAAATACCTATACAATTACTGATTAAAAAAAAAACTTGTTAAGATATATTGAGAACTGACTTCATAACAAATTTGAAATCGTGAAGGAACTTTATTGACATCCTGTGTATTGAAGAATGTCTTCAGAACAAAATTGTAATTGGTTAAAATTCTGCTATTGATATTGTTTCCAATTTTTGTGGGGGTATGGCGGCGTTACTTTGAGCAAACTTTATAAAAAAATCTGTTCATGAATTCATTCCTTAGATCAAGATTTATTTGGAACAAAATCTTATCAGGTGCTCGTTGAATTTTTATTTCAATTTCTCGTTTTTATTCACCATGTTTTTGTTGATAATAGGCCTATATAAGAGACTGTTTTGTATTTACCTTATGTGCTTTTTTTGTACCTTTATCATGAATCTAGAATGTTGAATTGTCTTTTCTCATATTTAAAACTCTCCCGAGTCTTGCTGTAAAAAATAGCAGTTTACTAAGGTGTATTGCCTCACGATAGTTTTACATAGTTTCAGTAACTCAGTTCAGTGCTGCGTAACTGCGTAACTTTGCTCAGAGATGAGTCCCTTTCACATCTGAGTAAGTGCGCGTAACTTTGCTGAGAGATGAGTCCCCTTTACTTCTGAGTGAATGCTCGCAACTTTGTTCATGGAGTCTCCTTAACTTATGTGTTATTGCGCATAACTTTTGCCCGGAGATGAGTCTCTTGTACTTCTGAGTGAGTACCCATAACTTCGCTAAGAGATGAGTGACCTTTACTTTGAGTGAGTGCCTGTATCCGTTTTGCTCTTCTCAAATGAAGTTTAATACCCGTTTAATCCCAATGAGTATTTTTGTACCTACATCGATTTACTTGAAGTATTCAGTCGTGTCAATCAAAGGAGTTTTTGCCTGTTGAAACATTTGTTTGTCAATTGCCCAATGCTTTTAAATATTTGTCGTTCGTATCTTTTGTTTCAATATTTTGCCTTTTTCCTTTTTTTGTTTATTAATTAATATGTTCTATAGTACTGCATTTATTGTTTTTTTGTTACGAATAAAGACAGTCATGAAATCAGGTGCTACTGCGCAGTTTTTTTGTGTGTGTGGCACGAATGATAACTGAAAACAATGATTTCTCTACGCCCCCCAATAGGGGGTAAACACCCTCCTTAAATTTCAAAAAAAAACCTAATTTTCAGGTATGCAACAACACCACACTTTAATTTTACCACACTTTAATTTTAGCTTGAACATAATTGTATTTGAATAGTCAGAAAGTAGCGTATATATCAGTGAAATAATCACCCAAATACATAACACATTTGTATGGATTTTATCACTAATAACAAAATATTTACCACCTCCTAAATTTGGACCCCCCCCCCCCCCCTAAAATAAAAAGTTGGGGAACATACTGCCCGGAAACCCTAGCTAGGTTAATAAGAGAGTGGCGCTCACAAACTTGGACGCAAGTTTCGAATATCATATGATAGTGTTCCCATAAACTAAAAATGTGAAGTGATGTACCTCGTATATCTCGGACAAAATTTTTGAATGAAATAAATTATAGCCATCGATAGATCGCTACCGCCAAGTGCTGGAATATATGGAATAGGGGTTCATGCAATTTTATTGATATTTTAGTGAACGTCGTAGCAAAATGGCAAGCGATGTAATAGCCAGAAAACCATACCTTTTGCAGCACGTGCTGAACAATCAAGAAAGCATATTGCGAGTGTAATAATTGCCCTATAGTCGAGCAGTCATACCACGGGGGATAATTACTTCTTCTGGTAGTTTTGCCCGCTATTACGTCTTTGTTTATGGCATTAGTTCTCGACCTGTGTTTCATGAAATATACTTTGCAGGATAGCGTTTGTGATTAGTTTGGGTGCTCCCGAAGTATGCGAACCAAGATGGCGGACATCGGAACGTAACATGGGTAACAGGTTAGGGTTAGGCGATAATTTTTTTTCCAATTTTCCTTATTTTAGTCCTATTATCAGTTCGAAGACTAGCCAAGAGCCTCCCGTAGTATTTATACCTAAAATTATGGCCTAAGCCTAACCTAGTACACATATTACATTCCGATGTCCGCCATCTTGGTTCGCATACTTCGGGAGCCCCTTAGTTTGAATAATTAGAGCGTTAATTAATTAAAGTTTGAGACCAGACCTTCCAGGGGGCCACATAGACAACTAACTGATTTTACTTTTCCCTTTACAATAACTTTGTTGAGTATGAATTGTTTGTTTGAACATAATAAAATTTGGAATCAGACAATCATAATAACAATATAAATACCACTGTAATGATAAACAGGGGTATTTATATAGTTTCCGAAAGAGGGTCATAAGAACTTGGTAATCATTGTTTTAGAGAATTATTTTCTGCCGCTGAGTATTTGAAGGCCTTTGCTTGATATTTGGTTTAGAAAGTTTTAGCAGAAAATTTGTATTTATCCGCTTACATATAATTTCCGATGGACGTTTTCAGATGTTGCTATTCGCATCTCTGTGGGGCCGCGATTCAATGCTGGGGGACCGTAGTCATCTTTTTAATACGATTTTGGTATTTATCTCGAGAGAAAAGAAAGCCAATAAGACAGTTTTGGTATTAGTTCTATTATTCGTTCTAGATTTCAGACGTGCGTACTCGGAAGGTGAAAGAAAGAAAGAGGCCATAAACGATCATCAATCGTTTTTCCCTTAGTTATCCTTCGCGGAACAAGTTCAGATGGTCGTATTTTTAATTTATTGTGGTCCGCGATGGTCTGGGGTTTGAGGCATAAGAGCAGTTGTTTTTAACCATCACTGTCCAGGGGTCTCGCAAGGTCACACCCAAATCTAAGCGTATTCATTGTTTAAATATAATCGAATACACGGGTACAATTTAATCATATAATGTGCGTTTCACTTCTGTTCCGTGGCATATTCGATAATGAAAATAAAACAAATATAATCGAATATTTATCTGTATATGACACTCCAAAAATTATATGTACCAATATTGAGGTAACTAATTTTGTTCGCCTACTTTACATAAAGTTGTGTGGAACATTAGTGATAATTATCATTTGGCGCCCCAGAAGTGTGTGTACTAATATGGAGATAACTAACTGATTTTGTTCGCCTACTAACCTGTTTTATATCAAGTTGTGTAAATGGACGGAAGCCTATGGGCAAAATGTATAGTCACTGGGCTAACACAGACAGCCCCTGAACTCGCAATAGAACTAAAATAAGGAAAAATTATGGCCTAACCCTAACCTGGTACACATATATACTGCGGAAGTACCATGTATATAACCAATCGTACAAGGGTTACTCAAGCCTCTGGAATGTTTCATTAGGATTCCGCTACACAAAAAAGGTTGCAAACCATTGCTTTAGAAACGAAACTACCATGCTATCGCAGGATGAAATCTCGTGTACTCCCGAAGTATGTGAATCAAGATGACGAACACCGGAACGTAGTATGTGTACCAGGTCAGTGACATGAAATTATGGCCTAACCCTAACCTGGTACACATACTACGTTCCGTTTACCGCCATCTTGGTTCACATACTTCGGGAGTACCGAATCTCGGTTTTTAAATGCCATTTCCGCCACCCCACCGAGGGTAAAATTGAGTTTCTGATCTGAAGGATTTCGGGATCTTTTATAAAAAGCTCCCGCCACTAATGCAAAATGTGAGATTTAATAAAATGCCTTCGCCACGTTTTTAAAATAACAAATCATGTGAGTATCCAGGTGGGGTTCGGATTAGGAATGATTTAAAAATTTAATTTTTTTCTACGCAATCTGCATATCTAACCCTAACTGGATAATCAATACTTTCTTATTTTGAGCATTGGCGGAGGCTTTGTACAAAAGATCCATATTTTGGGCCTTCCAAGCTATAATATTCCTATACTTAGCTGCGAATACTTGTGTAGACTGTAGAGCTGACATGAGCGAAATACGGCCCGCGCGCTAAATCCGGCCCGTCGGGTAATTTAATCTGGCCCACCTGATGCTGCCACAACCAAACTAAAATCAAATTTTGATGTTTCAGCTAAAATACCTCAAGAGAACTCGGGATCGCGATTTAATTTAGTTTTGGCACGAGGTTTTCCACTTTTGCTGCTTACATGGCCCGCCAGTCTAGATGGGCAAATTATTTGGTGCCTGGCCCTAAACCCCCTGCTGTAGGACTTTGTTCGAAGCGGAAGACTTATAAATACTTCGTATAAAAATCCCATTGTTTCCAAAGTTATATTATGATGCAACAAAGTTTTACGCGTGAGTGACCACGGAGTGGACAGTGACAAATTACTGGTCGCGCCCCATTTGAACTTCTGTTATTCAATCTGGCATGGGGTCGAAACCCTTTTCTTATCTCAGTAGCCTTAGTGTTTAGTTCAAGGGCACACCGGTAAATTTCTAGGCGTTAAGATAACACCTGCGAAAAAACGAGATGCCACGTCCAAAGTTTGAATGGTCAGTTCCGTAAGGTAAGATAGATCACTGCATTAATCTTGATTAATTGCTCTAACTGGACTTAATTAATGTATTTGTAAGTTTTAGTTTGTTTTGTGTTTGCTTAGTGTCCAGTTATGTACTTGACTAAAGAATAGAACGGTAAACTTCAAGTTTGTTGCCGGTTTAGACATTCTGAAGAAATGCTTTGCTCTAAGGAAAGTCGCATTTAAGAACACCTTTATACTAGAGTTCTTCTTTCTGCGGAGGAGTTAGGATTTGATTCCTGAGAATTTATTCAGTCATGTAAGTAGGATTTGTATCATATTAGTAATTTTTAGAGTACAAATTGAAATTATTTAATGTTTTTTGTGTGAGTAATATTGTATTTGCTATTCAAGAACGAAAAATTCGGAATAAGTTTGTTTCTACGTACCATTCGGCCGGATTTTTCCGCGTGTAATTTTGAATAGATAGTTTGGTATTCTGCCAAAATTATGAAGATTGTTAATTAAGATAGTTAGTTTGTATCCTAATAGTAACTTATAATTTTTTTTGTATGAGTATTTTAGTATTTGCTGTGTAAGAACGAAATAATCAAAATAAGTTTCTTACTACATACCCCGATTTTTCCGCGTGGAATCTTAATCAGAAATGTTGGATCCTGCCAAAATTTTGAAGATTGTTGTCACCCAATATTAAATTTTATTAATTTTTTTTTTTGAAGGTCTGCTCGGATAACTTCTTGTTTATTTGTAGCTTATTAATGCTTAGTTTTTTTTGTTTGAATGTTTTTATTACATCCACTAATATAAAAAGAGAAATTAACTTTTTGTGTAACAACTATTTTAAAAAGCGAAAGTTTTTTACGCGTAGGATTTTATATCAAATTTTACTAATCTGTCAATATTCAGTATGTCTTGTTCTGTTTCTGCGGTAACGTGATAGTAAGGTACCGATACCGCTAATTTTCTTGTTCTATCACGAGGCATGTCAGGCGGTTAAAATAGGATACTCATAAAACAGGTGGTCCACCTAACCGATGTTGTAATAAAAAATGACGTTTTTTTATACAAATAAAGGACCAATCGTTTCAGTACTTGAAGACGTAAAAAGTCTTTTTTTTTTTTTTTTAAACCTTTGTCTTAGAACTTTAAGTATTTCACCCCGATACTAATTAGCGATCGATTCCTTAAGCTTTGACTTGAAAAAAATTGTGTCTCACAAACGAAGTTCACTTTGTGCAAGCCATAAACGCCAAAAATTGTAAAAATCACGTAGAATCAAATTCGTCAAAATTATATTACCATGATAACATACTCCTATTGATACCCCCCCCCCCCCCCCCCCCCGATGATATCGCTCTATATTTTGCTGCCTCTATAATTTACGGGAGCGGGCGTACCTGTAATATGACATTCGGTGAAATTCTTTTATATCTTGACTGCAATTTTTGCTGACATTGCGGTGTAATTGAACTCTCGTTTTCCTATATTTGACTTTGGCTCTTTTATTTTAATCCCACACGCGCTTCCGGTAGCGTTACCGACTTTTTGAACTAAATACCGGGGTTTTCGTCTAACCGGATACTCGGATTTCGCGGTAAGAAAACTACACT